TTTCAGCACCCCTGTCAGCAGACTTGACTCGTAAGCAATGATGCATTGATTTTCCATTTTTCCATTTTCCGTGATACACTTGTTTTCTGATATCCTTGAAAAATTTCATTTCAGTTCAGTTCAGTTCATTTATTTCATTTAGTTAACAAGTTTTATGTTTCTGTGCAGATGCTGGCTAGGGAAACCTAACCAGAAGGGTGGGGTATAAATAAATTATTATTATTATTATTATTAGTGAAAAACCATGTTGCAACATAGCTTATAATGTGTTTTAAGTAATTATTGGTATTTTTGGCATGTACTGCTCTCCAAAGCATAACTTGTTTTCTAAAGGGTTGGAAGTGCTTTGGGATGTGTTTGAGTTGCGAGTTTTCTGTAGTAAATAAAATGTGAACACATTTCTTTCCCCCATGCACAACAAAATCTATGCAACTGCAAATCGTAAATGTCAACTGTGCTTAGTCATTTGCAATGCAGCCTGGGGGTCAATTTGGCTCAAGGGACTTTTGGTAGGTCACCAGAAATGAGGCTGATTTGTGTTCTGGTCTTTCCTCCATACTCCTCCCTTGCAAAAATACTGCAGACACAGGTACAGGTAGATCTCTGTCTCTCTTTGCTCTACTTTGACCTCTTTTCATAGTTGCTTTGATTAATACAAAAAAGAATGTGACTTTTTCACAGCTGGGTGGATAGGAAGAACTCGCACGTTATTTCCTTCTCTCTTGCTGTTCGGGATATTAATCACAACCCCAGTCTCTTACCCAACATCACCCTCGGCTACAGCATCTATGATAACTATTCTGAGGGAAGACTGACTTCTGAGTGCATGACAGACCTGCTTGCTGGTGGGAAAATCAATATTCCAAACTACCACTGTGGGAAACAGAAAAGGCTGCTAGCTGTTCTTGAAAAGAGTGAATTTGACATCTCCACACACATTGCAAGCATGTTGGGCATCTACAAGATCCCACAGGTAATCAATGGGTCCAAGTGAAACACACCTGGCAACATTAGCCACCTGGTTGTTGTTGTTGTTGTTGTTGTTGTTGGCATCTGTCATTGAAAGACAATGGAATGAGCCTCTGGGATGTAGTCAAACTACTCTGTTGGCAGTATCAAAGTGACCTCCACGGTGCGCAAGCCTGGGCAGTAGGTACAGAAATCCTGGGTTGCCAAGACGACAAGACCTCCCTCTCAGCCTCACTGCTGTGGTCCAAAGGAAAGCAGAGCAATACATTTGGCACAAGCTTGGCTGCAGGAGTTGCTGGAAGGAGGCAAGCAAAGCAGCACTAAGCTGGTGCAGGATTTGTGCAGTGTTTACTCCTTAGCCTTTTCTTCACCCAGATGTTGGAGGGGATGAAGGGTTATGGAACTCCCTTGCGGTTGAGGACAGACAAGGGAGTTCTTTCTTTCTTTCTTTCTTTCTTTCTTTCTTTCTTTCTTTCATTCTTTCTTCAAATGCTTTATTGAATTCCAAAAGAAAGCGTACATTCAGAAATAGAATAATACGTATTCCAGCATGATTAGCTTCTATTATGACTTCCCATCAGCCCATCCTGGATCCTAAATGCTTTTAACATGTCACACATTTCTTTATCAGTCCAAATCAATCTCTATTATTTTGTTTTCCTATGATTTTCCTCATTTTTGCAGCAGTCACTGCAGACCTGCCAATGAATTCATTCGTGCCAACCCTCCAGCAATTTTGCTTGCCACTCCAGTTTGGTCAGGATTGAGTCTCCCTTCCAATTTCTGGCTATTAGCATCCTTGCTGCAACTGTGGCATATAAAAATATTTTCCTCACATTTTTGGGGATGTCGGTGCCCATTATCCATAGTAGGAAGGCTTCAGGGTTTTTTTGTAAAGGATATCTTAAATATTTTTTTAAATTCGTTATGTATTCTCTCCCAAAATTCCTTTACTTTTCTCCACTTCCACCACATATGTAACATAAAAATTTCTTTCGAGGTATAGCGCACAGTAAACCTCAGATCTTCCTTCCACAATCTATCCCATTCTTCCATAGGGATATTATATCCAAAATCTTGGGACCATTTGACCATCCTATTGTCTTTATATGGCCTACTGAAAACTTTTCTTCTCCTGCAGCAGGCATTTTAATTGAAGTTTGATTATAGAGTTTTACCATCTGGATCGTTTTTCTGAAAAACAAGCCATCATTCTCTTTCTCTTCTTTTACCAGCTCAGTTATGGCTTTGCTGTTACTGATAAATTCCAGTCCCCTTTTGTCTACCGCATGACACCAAACCAAGAAACGCAGTACCAGGGGATGGTCCAACTCCTCCTGCATTTCAGGTGGACGTGGGTCGGCCTCTTTGCTCCAGACAATGACAATGGGGAAAGCTTCCTGAGTACCTTGACACCTCTAATGAACAAAAGGGAAATTTGTGTTGCCTTCACACAAAGAGTACTACGAGAAACTTGGCTATGGATACCCCATGAAGCACCTGCCCTGTGGAGACAAGTCAATGTATTTGTTTACTTTGCAGACTCTCAAAGTGGACTTTACATAATCATAGAGGTTGAGTCCTTACTTGAAAGGATACAAACTGGGGGGAAAGTCTGGATAACCACAGTTTTTCATAACAAAATTTGGTTACATGATATTGATTGCTTCCGGTATGCCCATGGCTCTTTCTCCTTTGTAATGAAGACCAAAAAAAGGATGAAGAAGGACTACTATGGGCCAATGTCCTTGGCTAGTCAACAGTATTCAGAAGAAGCATTTGATTGTTCCTATTCAAAGCATGCCTTGTCTGTGAGGGGTATGACCAAATGCAGAGAGAAGGATAATGTGAAGATGCTGCCCCAGGAAGAGATTGAAAGAATCCAGTCCCAAGACAGCTATGTGAATTACCTGAGTATCCAAACTGTGGCTCAAGCTTTAAATGCCGCATATTCATCCAGGTCAAAGAGGTTGTTGATTTTGGGTGGAAGCAACTTGGAACTTCAAAAGCTACAGCCATGGCAGGTAATAATCTAGCATGGTCAGATGAATCCAGGCGAGAGATACTTTAGTTCTTATTCAGAGAAGATCAGGATGCAGGGAGAACATGAAACCATGTTACATAATTCAGCCCTGCTTACTCATTGCTGGATTTTCCTCTGTCATTCTAGCTTCATCGTTTCTTGAAAGAAGTCCAGTTCTACTCTAATACTTCACCTGATGGACAGTACTTGGATGAGAATGGGGCAATTGCCGTTGACTTTGATATCGTGAATTGGGTGCTGTTTCCTAATAACTCTCATGATAGAGTGAAAATTGGGAGAATAGAGAGACTAAAGTCCTCAAATCTGAAGTTCACCATTAACCCAGAAGCAATTGTGTGGCCCAAGCGATTTAAGAAGGTAGGGAAAATTGGATCTGCCATTTTATTATCTATGACATCTGCTATGCTCTAATAACATTTTGAATAGTACATATGAGGCTTTGACTGCAATCTTGTGGATGCTTCCTTTGAGCTATGTCCCACTGAGTTTAGTTGAACCTGCTCTTGAGTAAATATGTATAAAATTTCAAATAAATAGGAGAATCTCCAAAGCAGAGCAGAACACATTTCCCTGGCTTTGTTGTTGTTGTTGTTTAGTCGTTTAGTCCTGTCCAACTCTTCATGACCCCATGGACCACAGCGCACCAGGCACTCCTGTCTTCCACTGCCTCCCACAGTTTGGTCAAACTAATGCATGTAGTTTCGAGAACACTGTCCAACCATTTCATCCTCTGTCGTCCCCTTCTCCTTGTGCCTTCAGTCTTTCCCAACATCAGGGTCTTTTCCAGGGAGTCTTCTCTTCTCATCAGGTGGCCAAAGTATTGGAGCCTCAGTTTCACGATCTGTCCTTCCAGTGAGTGCTCAGGGCTAATTTCCTTAAGAATGAATGCGTTTGATCTTCTTGCAGTCCATGGGACTCTCAAGAGTCTCCTCCAGCACCATAATTCAAAAGCATCAATTCTTTGGCCATCAGCCTTCTTTATGGTCCAGCTCTCACTTCCATACATCACTACCGGGAAAACCATGGCTTTAACTATACGGACCTTTGTTGGCAAGGTGATGTCTCTACTTTTTAAGATGTTGTCTAGGTTTGCCATCGCTTTTCTCCCAAGGAGCAGGCGTCTTTTAATTTCGTGACTGCTGTCACCATCTGCAGTGATCATGGAGCCCAAGAAAGTAAAATCTCTCACTGCCTCCATTTCTTCCCCTTCTATTTGCCAGGAGGTGATGGGCCCAGTGGCCATGATCTTTGTTTTTTGATGTTGAGCTTCAAACCATATTTTGCGCTCTCCTCTTTCACCCTCATTAAAAGGTTCTTTAATTCCTCCTCACTTTCTGCCATCAAGGTTGTGTCATCTGCATATCCGAGGTTGTTGATATTTCTTCCGGCGATCTTAATTCCGGCTTGGGTTTCATCCAGCCCAGCCTTTCGCATGATGAATTCTGCATATAAGTTAAATAAGCAGGGAGACAATATACAGCCTTGTCGTACTCCTTTCCCAATTTTGAACAAATCAGTTTTTCCATACCCAGTTCTAACGGTAGCTTCTTGTCCTTGGTGCCCTCTAAATATTGTGGACTACAACTCCCATGCACCCCAGACAGCATCATACAAAGATATCTGAGGGGCACCAGGTTGGGTAAGGCTGGAGTATCATTGGCAGATGTGATGGCAACAGATGGAGGACTTGTTTTATTGCTGATGTTCATATGAGGGTTTATGCCATGCTCCTGTTTTTTGTTAACTGTTAATCTACTGTTGCAATTTGTAATACTATTGTAGCTTAGAAATGTGAGATTTCAATGTTAAGGGCGGGGGCAGAAGTAGACCCAAAAGGTTTCTCTGCCATGCAGCTCTGCAAAAAAACACAAAAAAATGTAACTGCCCAAAATATGGTCTGCGGTCACCTGAGGTTATTGGAAGCAAATATCTCCTCTCCGGGATCCTTCCAAAATTCTATTATCTGTGTCCCAAGGCATAAATACACCTTTCACTTTCTCCTTAATGCTCAATTTTCTCTTCATGCCTAGACCGTACCTCGATCAAGATGCACAGAAAGCTGTCTCCCTGGATATTCCAGAAAAGTTCAGGAAGGGAAGCCGCCCTGCTGCTATGATTGTTCTCCCTGCTCAGAAGTAACCATCTCCACTCAGGAAGGTAGGAGAGGAACTCAGAGAAAATGGTCTTTGATGGGAGGATGGGGCAAATATTTGAACTACTGCAAACATGATGTTAGTAATGGCTAGTTCCATCATCTGTCAGGTGGGGACCATTGGCATTCTCAGAGAACAATGGAGGCATTCATGATGAGTTCAAACACTGTCAGGTGTGGACAGTCCTCGCCTCCCTTTGGTAACTGCACAGATAAGAATTAATGAACCGTTTATAATTTATACTCTTTTTATTCCGTCATCTGGCTGCAAGCAAAGATCCACATCCCTCCACAAGGAGAGCAGTTGGCTACTCTAAATCCTCCCCCCTCTACCCCGCACAACATCCTGGCGCCAACGAGAAGTTCCTTCTCCTCTCTGCATTCTTTGTTCTCTAATACAGATGGACCTCCTAGTTTGTGGGGAGGGAGGGTCCCCCAGACTCTCCTATGTTCCCTCCCTTCTGTTCTCTTTCCATTATCTCGTAGCTAGGTAACTCTTGTGTAATCTGCTCGGTGTCTGTGTCTCTCCCTCTTCAGAAAGGAGCTGATCTGCCTGAGAATGCAATCCCCAATCCTCTGATTCAGAGCATGCCCTGACAGGCACCTCTTTTTCTAGAAAATAGCACTGGAAATAAGGAAAGGAAAGGAAGATATAGTCTAGTAGCACCTTAGAGACCAACTAAGTTTGTTCTATGTCTGCGCTACTCTGAAACAGAAGTCACCAGACCCTTATACAGTGGTACCTCAGGTTAAGTACTTAATTCGTTCTGGAGGTCCGTACTTAACCTGAAACTGTTCTTAACCTGAAGCACCACTTTAGCTAATGGGGCCTCCTGCTGCCGCCACACCGCCGGAGCACAATTTCTGTTCTCATCCTGAAGCAAAGTTCTTAACCTGAAGCACTATTTCTGGGTTAGCAGAGTCTGTAACCTGAAGCTTATGTAACCTGAGGTACCACTGTATATAGTGGGAGGGTGGGGTGGGGTATTTCTCAGAAGGGTACTAGGGGGTGGGTGATTAGCTCAATGGGTATGGTAAATATGCTGAAGACTGATAACGACTGCAATTAGTCATAAAGGAACAAAGCAATGGATAGTATGCAGATGACCAAAAATAGCTTTCACATGTGTAATGAGACATGAATCCAATGTCTCTATTCAGACCAGGTCTCTCCATAGTTTCCCCACCCCTAAGAAAACTTAAGGATATAAGAAAGGACTTGCTGCATAGAAAGAACAGCCCTCCCACCCCCATGTGATCTGCAGCAACTAGTGTTCAAAGGCATTCAAAGGACACCTCCAATGTTGCAGGGAGCACGTGTCAATGAATCAGGTCCTGGGGACTTTCTTGATGAGTGAGGGGAAAGTGAGCAAGAGTGCCAGGGTGTATTGGGTTCACCAAACCTGTGGCTTCAGGAGGGTTCGCATCCTGCCATGGAGTCAGTCAGCACTAGGGCCAGAGAGACAATTTCTGAGAGGTCTCAGCAGATCAGGAAAGGAGATAGTGCCACACAATAATACTACTCCAACTTCCTCGGAGGAATCATGGAACACTAATGTAATACTTTATTTTGGAAATTATTATTCTAGCTTCCATTTATTATAAATAAAGTTGGGGTTTAACACATCTGCTTCTCAATACAGTGGTTACAATCAGGTTACATACACTTCTGGTTACATACACTTCAGGTTACAGACTCCGCTAACCCAGAAATAGTGCTTCAGGTTAAGAACTTTGCTTCAGGATAAGAACAGAAATCATGCTCCAGGAGCGCAGTGGCAGCAGGAGGCCCCATTAGCTAAAGTGGGGCTTCAGGTTAAGAACAGTTTCAGGTTAAGAACGAACCTCCGGAACAAATTAAGTACTTAACCAGAGGTACCACTGTATTCAAACATAACAAGAAGCTGCCATTATACTGAGTCAATCTATTGATCCATTTAACCCACAGTTGTCTAATCCAGGGGTTCATTATTTTTTCCTGGTCTTTGCACTAGACGTTAATTTTTAGCGGTGAATAATAGCAGTTGAGTGCTGCTGCCAACCTGTCAATCACCAATAGTGCTGTCAGCAAATTTCAAGTGTGTGACTGATGTTAGGATACCGAAGTGTGTTTTTCTCTATGCAGATGCTAATGAATGCACCAGATGTCCAGAAGATCAGCATCCAAATGAGGATAGACAACAATGTGTCCCCAAAATATTTACCTTCCTGTCCTATGAAGAATATTTGGGGAGCCTCCTGGCTTCCCTTGCTCTCTCCTTATCCTTAACCACAGGTTTTGTGTTAGGAATCTTCACTAAATACAAAGAAACTCCCATAGTCAAAGCCAACAACAGGGACCTCTCCTACATCCTCCTCATGTCTCTACTGCTCTCCTTTTTGTCCTCCTTCCTCTTCATTGGAAAGCCAAGGAACGTGACCTGTCTTCTCCGTCAAACAGCCTTCTGCATCATCTTCTCAGCTGCTGTCTCTTCTGTCTTGGCAAAAACCATCACTGTAGTCCTGGCCTTCCTGGCTACTAAGCCAGGGAACAAGGTGAGGAGATGGCTGGGAAAGAGATTGGCCCACTCCATTGTCATTTCCTGCTCCAGTGTGCAAGTTCTCATCTGCACCATCTGGCTGGGGATCTCTCCTCCATTCCCAGACTTTGACCTGAGCTCCCAGCTTGGAGTAATCATTGTCCAATGCAATGAAGGGTCTGTTGCCATGTTTTATGGTTCTCTTGGCTACATGGGCTTCCTGGCTGCCATCTGCTTCACAGTGGCTTTCTTAGCAAGGAATCTGCCTGGGGCCTTCAATGAGGCCAAGCTGATCACCTTCAGCATGCTGGTCTTCTGCAGTGTTTGGGTGTCCTTTGTGCCCACCTACCTGAGCACAAAGGGGAAATTCATGGTAGCTGTGCAGATCTTCTCTATCTTGGCCTCCAGTGCTGGGCTTCTGGGCTGCATCTTCATTCCCAAATGCTACATTATTATATTGAGGCCTGATTTGAACACAAAGGAGCACCTGACAACAAAAAACTAAATATGACATTTGATCCTTAGTTCTAGGGGTATCATAAAATTGTACAGGTAGAAGCCCCAGCCACAATCTCAACTGGAGTAAAACTGTTCATGACCCATAGCAGGATTTCATAAGCTGCTTAAGAAGTTTCAAACTGAATTACTAAAGTACAAAATGTACTTAGCTAAATTAGAAGAAAATGATATTAAACTGGGTACATAGGGATATCTTTAAAAGTCGTATGGGATTCTGATAATATAACTAATACCACTACTACGTCTAATAATAATAATAATAATAATAATAATTTATTTATTTCCCCAGCCACTCTGGGCGGCTTACAGTACATATTCAATCAATCAATCTTTATTACGGTCCAGAGACCCAACAAATCATTACAAATCAATACACAATTCATACAGCCTACCTCCAGGTTAATCAAGCATTGTGTTTAGAATATAGGGCTCATTTGAATATAGCAGCCTCATTTTAAAAGCAGCCCATGGATCAAAACTGTAAGGGGAGGGGAAGCATAAGGGTCAGACTGAGTCCAAACCAAAGGCCAGGTGGAACAGCTCTGTCTTGCAGGCCCTGCGGAAAGATGTCAAGTCCTGCAGGGCCCTAGTCTCTTGTAGTCTCTGGTCTCTCTATGGCATTTAAATGTCCCATAATGTTCAAGGATTGGTCCGTTACATAGGACATCAGTGAGTTTGAGAATGTCCACATGGTTAGACCCTGCTCCACAGGCGGGAAACAGCGCCCTTCCCACAGTTTCTCCATTTGCAGCCACATCAGACAGGTCCGACAGGGCCTTTTGATCTCTTTTATTCCTCTGTCACCCTTCCATAATCAAGGGATAATATATCCCACAAAGCAAGACCCAGACATGTGGGGGCTAGTCCAGGTATATGCTCAGTGCCCAGAAGCAAAGGCTTGGAGGAGCGTGGCTTTGGGGTAATCTGGCTGCCAGTTGGCACAGTGGTCCACGGGTAAGGTCTGGGTAAGTCCTAGACTGAGTGAAGTCAGCGACAGTCACTTGCCCTGTGCTCAGTCTGTTTCCCCGAAAATAAGACAGTGTCTTATATTAATTTTAGCTCCCAAAGATGCAATAGGTCTTATTTTCAGGGGATGTCTTATTTTTCCATGAAGAAGAATACAGTACACATTTATTGTTGAACAAAAAAAAGGAAATTTATTACCTGTATACGGTACAATGTGCACGACTCCTGCCCCGCACGACTCACTCACTGTCTAATTGTGAGTCAGCCAGACTCCGTCAGGGCAGAGTGAGCAGCAGGCGGCAGCTTGTCCTGGTGTCGGCGTGGGCTCTCTGATTTAAAGAGACTTCACACTGTCTGAACAGCTCCGGCTGTGCTGCGGCCAATCAGTGAGTTGCGCAGCGGCGCCCGCCGCTACGGTCCAGAGGAGACGCCTTATGGTAGCTTCAGGGGCCTTATATTCTGGGGTGGCCTTATTATCAAGGAGGCCTTATATTTGGGGAGGGCCTTATATTACAGCGAGAGGCAAAACTGGAAGTAGGTCTTATTTTCAGGGGATGTCTTACTTTCGGGGTAACAGGGTATGTCAAGGTTGATGTCACAGGTGCTTTTCCCAACAGGGGTTCCCTCCCCTGTGAAGAGGTGGAAAAGGGGTCCTTTAGTGGGTCCCTTCAAATACAGGTATTGATGGGTGAGGTTCAGGGCTGTCAGGTTCCAGGAAGCGATGTCTCCCCTGTAGTATTGGCCCCAGGTCACAGCCACTGCTACCAGAGGCAGGCCTTGCTTTTGGTGACTTGGTGCATGTGCACAGATCCAGTATTACCGGAAAAATCCAAGGGCTCCCTTGGACAAAAAGTAAAGACACCAACCAGAGTAAATTGGAGCAAATCAGCAGCCTGTAGGCTTGGCCTTTATTGAACTGTTGCAACAGGGTGTTCCCCTCACTTGCAGGAGAGAGGAAAAGACACAGAAAATGGTGTGCAAGACCTTATAAAAACTTTTGAAATTCCCATCCTCTAGGTCAAGCCCACCCCCAGAAACATCATGCATACATTACAGAAAGGAGGGGTTGAGGGAGGAGTTGTGGTGGTAACCTGAGTGTCCTGTCACCTGGCTGGTTCCCTTCTCCTCCTCCCCATGAGTCATTTTCTGAAGACAAAAGGTAGTCGCAGTTTCCTGCCCCCTGAGGGAAGATCTGATCATTGTCCTTTGTTCCAGTCCATGCAGAATCCACTCCCATATGCAAGTTCTTTGTGATCTTGATTGTCTTCTGTCTGGGATCATCAGGGTTGGCATAGCAACTGGGCAGGGCTCCTGTGGATGTGCTGGTATGGTGAAGGGATTATGGTGCCCTGTATCAAACCTTCCCCATTTTGTAGTCTTTCCTTCATGGAGTAAAATAAAAGTGGAACAGTGCAAATCCGATGTATGGTTGATTTTCTATGAATTTATAACAGAAGTGTAGCGTATGTAGTGTGTGAGTGTGAGTGTGTGTGAAGTTTGTACAAACTGAATGATGGGGGGGGGGGTTCCTGCTACACCAGCAGTTGGGGTAGGGAGCTTCTCTGGCCACCTTGTTCAACAGTCGGATATGAGTTTTGGTCCCAGGAGGAAAGAAGATCTTGCTCTGTGTACAAAGGGGTTGGGCCAACGTGCCTCGGACAAGGGTGCCCAAACTTTCAAAGAGGGCCAGATTTGATGAAGTGAACATGTGGAATGGCCGACCAAAGTTGTTGACCTTTTTTAGGACTGAAGTTGTTGATTAGACCCCCAAAATGGACTTTGGTGATGCGTGGCCTAGGGGATGCAGAGGGTCATTGGTTTTCAGAAGTCTCACGTCCTTGGTGACCCCCCCCCCCGGCACCTCTGAGGCCTGGTGTGATCCCAACTTGGGGTTTTGTGCAGCCCCTGCAGTGTGAAGCCAGCCTTCTAGGTATTCTGGCCCTTCCCAGTCGTTGGTTACTCCAATGTCCCAGAGGCAACAAAATCACCATAGGCAAAGTCCTTGCAGTTCGGTTTTCTGGGGCTGAGAGTCCATTCGAAGGCATTGGCTCCCAAAGATCAAGTTCTCTGTGGGGTGGTTAGAATCTGTGTAGATATAAACAGCTCCCCCATTGTCCACCTCTATCTAGTTCGGGTGCTTGGAAACTTCTCCTTGGCTGTAAAGGAGGGAGCTACTGTTTGCACATCACAGGCAATTTTGTTGATGTCAAGGAGATAAAAAATTACACAACTTTTTGAAGGTAAGCCCTGTTCAGGGAAATTTTTAGCTTTGATGTTGTAATGTGTTTTTACTATTTATTGTTGGGAGGCGCTCAGAGTGGCTGGGGAAACCAAGTGAGGTGGGCGGCCTACAAACAATAAAATTATTACTATTATTATTATTATTACTACTACTATCCCTTCAATCTCGCCGGCCAAGCGATGCTTAGCTGCCCTGCACCCCTTAGGCACCTTTGTGGGAATGGAAATGAGAAGTCCACCAAGGGCGTCCCTATGAGAGCCCCATCCCCAAACAGGACTCTCGGGACGCGTCCCCCGTTTCCCCCGGCAGGAATCCCTTGGGGCGCTGCTGGCTGCGCGCGTGTGGCGAGGCGCGCCTCTTTTGGCTGGAGAGAAGGAGAGTGCATGGAATGGGTTACGGAAGCGAGAGAGCCGAGATGCCTAGAGAGGCCTGGGAAGAGACCCCTCCCTCATCCATTGCCGTCTCTTACCTCCTCCTCCCCCCTCCCTGCTCGTCCTGGGAGGCTCCTCCGGATGGAGAGGTCGGTGCGCTCGAGGGAGATTCCGCGCGCAGGACGAGGGGTGAGCCGTGCCAAGGGGGTCTCTGGGCGCAGGAGAGACTGGGGACGGAGGGGGCAGAGGAACTTGGGGAGGAAGGGAAGCATCCCTGGGGGTGGAAAGCCCCGTCCAGCATTGGCAGCGGGTGCAGAGAGAGAAAGAGACGCTGCCCTTTGGAAGGGAGGTCTCCCACTTGGGCGCTGGCGGGGGAATCTCCGGAGGGGCTGCCTTGGCTTTTCCCTCCTGCCCAGAAACCTGCCTTGGGGAGAGGGGTCCCTGAAAATGAGAGGGTGTCCAATTCCCCACCCTCCCCTCCTTCCCGGAAGCTGGACTCTCCTTCCCCCACCCCCAGGCCAGCTGCTGCTGGGGGCTCCAGAAGCGGGACTCTGCTGCTGCTGCTTGGTTACACCAAGCCAGGCCATTGGTCCAGCTGGAGAGGAGAGGAAAGCGCAGGAAGCTCTTGAGAGGAAGGAGAGAGGGCTGTCCAGAGGGGGTCTTTGCTTCCGGAATCCTCTTCCACGAAAGGACAGAAACTCGTTTGCCTCTCCCTGGATTTCAGTTTTAAGTGTCAATTCCATTGCATAGTTAATTGACAGTGATAATGTAGTGCACTATTTAAAAAAAATGACTGGAGGTGCTATGGAAATTCTTTCAGGATTTGTATATACAGTGGTACCTTGGGTTACAGACGCTTCAGGTTACAGACTCTGCTAACCCAGAAATAGTACCTCGGGTTAAGAACTTTGCTTCAGGATGAGAACAGAAATCGTGCGGTGGCAGTGGGAGGCCCCATTAGCTAAAGTGGTACTGAAGGAAGGTGAGGACAGGTGACCCCACCTAGGCCCGAAGTCACACACCCCTCAATAATCACCCCAGGCCTCAAAACTGTCCAAAATTCCTTTTGTCTTCTAAAAATCTACAGCTACAGCTTTTCTGTGGATTCTCACAAGATGCTGGTACATAGGCAAAATGTTATTCTTTTATCAGCACAAGAAGGCTTCAAAAGCTAATGAATAGACTTTGTCAGAGCAGGCCTGAGAGCTGACTTTTATCTCATTCAGTTGCAACATCTTTGGACATGCTGAACCGCTCTCATTCCCCCTTTCCTGGGAAGGGTGCCAAGAGTCCACAGGTTAAGAACAGTTTCAGGTTAAGAACAGACCTCCAGAAAGAATTAAGTTCCTAACGTGAGGTACCACTGTAATTTACAAATGGACAGCCTTTCTATAACTTTTTTCTTGTTTAGGCAATGTCAGAGGGATTTACAAGCTGAGACACAATCCATCAGCACCCAAAGACAGTAAATGCATGCACCTTCCCAGTCTGGGGTGCTTCAAGGGCAATGTGTCAGTTATCAGGATAGACAATGCCTGTGACTGGAGGCTTTCCACACAGACATGTGTAGATGTAGATCAATTATTGCCATTATTACTGGTGAGGTGTTTGAGATTCCCATATCTACAAACACTGTGTGAGAGAGAAAGGGAGTGGGTGGGATCATATTTTATAGCAATGCTGAAATTTTGTCTGTAACATTTGATGAACTGATATTGTGGTACGAATTCCAAAACAACTTTGCAAAACCCACAAAGAAACACACAGGTTAATGGTGGCGTGAGCTTTCCTGGCCCGCAATTCGCAGCATTCTCCTGCTGTCCACAAAGGTTTAGGCCATTATAGGTTTATTCGCCTCCAATGGGCCACCAGGAACTTTGTTGTTTTTGCTTCAAAAGATAAATGTTCCTGAAGACTTTGACAGTCACATATGACATAAACGGCACTTCTCTTTTACTTGTTCCACACAGGAGAGACTCTGACTCACAAGTCTAAGCACATCTTGCTAGAAAAAGAAAAACACAGAAATGTGAAGGGGAAATTGAGAGGTAAGCCCTTTGAGTATGCAGTGAGACATTTCACTACGTTTGTTGTTGTTTAGTCGTGTCCGACTCTTTGGGACCCCATGGACCAGAGCACGCCAGGCACTCCTGTCTTCCACTGCCTCCAGCAATTTGGTCAGACTCACTACGTTAAAACATATAAAAAGCCCTGTTGGATCGAGAAGATGACCCACTTTTGGCTTGTCTTCTGCAATTTCACCCATTTACCCATGTTTCTGTGGAGAGACATTGCCTCCAGTCCGCCCTTCCCTGCCCATTGCTAGGCAGGTTGTAGGCAGAGGTACCTTTTTCTTTCTTTTTTACCTTTACGCAGAGATAACTACGTCCCACTCTTCCTCTCCATTCCACCAAATTCCCAGTATTAACCACTATATTTATTCTCATGTCTTTGGGATTTAAGGGAACGGGAAGATTGCTACTGAAATTCAGGGGTACCTGTAGTCCATTATTACGATTGATTGAATTTGTTAGTCCCTTTAGTTTACCAGGTCAACGCAAAGAAACTTGCAACCAAACATTTTAGTGATTAGGACAAAAATGTCATTCGGAATTCTGAACCGGAGAAATAAAGAGCAGGATCCTGGAGAGAGAGCAGCTCCCTTTCCGGTGAGGAACCTCTGTATTTAAATTGGCAATTCAAGAGAACCAGTGTATCTAGGATCATGCTGCATTATTAACGATGCTTGATCATGATTAAAAGGTGATGATGCATTACTATTATCTGACATTATTTCATTTCCTAAAAAATAGGAACATAGAAAAAGGAAGAGTGTAGGAGATGTTAAATTAAGAGAAGGTACCAAAGGCACTTGATGTGTGTTATATTCCTTTGTCCTCTTCTTTACAGGATTTCCTTTCCCCCCTACTCGGAAGCAAGCGATAGAAAGGACAGTCAGAGCAATCTGTACTTTCATTAGGAATCATGAATAAACCATTTCAATATATGGAATAAACAATGTGATTCAGTCAGTGAACACACTTAGTTCACATCAATGAACTGAAATTGTGGAGATACCACTTAAAGGTATGGATTGTGGCAAGGACATCTGTGGGAGTGGTACTCCTACAAAGCATCAAGGAACTCGCACAGGGGAAAAACCATTTAAATGCATGGAGTGTGGAACATGCTTCCGTCATAGACAATCGCTAAGAAGGCATCAATATACTCATACAGGGGAGAAACCATATAAATGTTTTGAGTGTGGAAAATGCTTCACACAGAGTGGAAACCTCTATATACATATGCGAACTCACACAGGGGAGAAACCATTTAAATGTATGGAGTGTGGAAAGAGCTTCCTTTTGAGTAATCAACTTAATGCACATCATCAAACTCACACAGGTGAGAAACCATTCAGATGTACGGAGTGCGGAAAGAGCTTCTCTCAGAGTGGACAGCTTAAAAGACATCAGCGAAGTCACACAGGGGAAAAACCATTTAAATGCATAGAGTGTGGGAAGTGCTTCATCGATAGTGGAACACTTAGAAAACATCAATGGACTCACACAGGGGGAAAACCATTTAAATGCATAGAGTGTGGAAAGAGCTTCAGTCAGAGTGGAATCCTTAAATACCATCAACGAACTCACACAGGGGAAAAACCATTTAAATGCACAGAGTGTGGAAAGAGCTTCTCTCGGAGTGGACACCTTCAAAACCATCAACGAACTCACACAGGGCAGAAACCATTTAAATGCATGGAGTGTGGAAAGAGCTTCACAAAGAGTGGGACGCTTAGAAGACATAAGCAAACTCACACAGGGCAGAAACCATTTGAATGCATGGAGTGTGGAACAAGCTTCCGTCATAGAGAATCACTAATAATGCATCAATGTACTCATACAGGGGGAAAACCATATAAATGTTTTGAGCGTGGAAAGAGCTTCCTTTTGAGTAATCACCTTAATGCACATCATCAAACTCACACTGGAGAGAAACCATTCAGATGTATGGAGTGCGGAAAGAGCTTCTCTCGGAGAGGACAGCTTAAAAAACATCAGCGAAGTCACACAGGGGAAAAACCATTTAAATGCATAGAGTGTGGAAAGAGCTTCAGTCGGAGTGGAAACCTTAGAAAACATCAATGGACTCACACAGGGGAGGAACCATTTAAATGCATAGAGTGTGGAAAGAGCTTCACAGAGAGTGGAATCCTTAAAAAGCATCAACAAACTCACACAGGGGAAAAACCATTTAAATGCATGGAGTGTGGAAAGTGCTTCAGTCAGCGTGGAAACCTTAAATACCATCAACGAACTCACACAGGGGAAAAACCATTTAAATGCATAGAGTGTGGAAAGAGCTTCAGTCAGAGTGGATACCTTAAATACCATCAACGAACTCACACAGGGGAAAAACCATTTAAATGCATAGAGTGTGGAAAGAGCTTCTCTTTGAGTGGACACCTTAAAAACCATCAACAAACTCACACAGGGCAGAAACCATTTAAATGCATGGATTGTGGGAGAAGCTTCACTAGAAGTGGAACGCTTAGAAGACATCAACGAATTCACACAGGGCAGAAACCATTTGAATGCATGGAGTGTGGAAAATGCTTCCGTCATACACATTCGCTAAGAATGCATCAATTTTCTCATACAGGAGAGAAACCATATAAATGCATGGAGTGTGGAAAGAGCTTCGGTCAGAGTTCGAGCCTTAATGCACATCTACAAATTCACACAAGGGAGAAACCTTTTAAATGCATGGATTGTGGGGGAAGCTTCACTAGAAGTGGAACGCTTAGAAGACATCAGCAAACTCACAGGGGAAAAACAATTTAAATGTATGTTTGGTTGCAGAATAAATCCAGGCATATCTGGAGGATATGGACCATTTGGACTGCATTTCTTCCAGTTGAGTGTCAGGCCCTGCCATCAGACTGAGACCGCCTTGTTGGCACTGGTTGATTATCTCTGGCAGGCGAGGGACAAAGGTAAAAGCTGTTTCCTGGTTCTGCTGGATCTCTCAGTTTCTTTTAATGCCATTGACCACGGTATCCGGTTACCGATTTGTGATAAAAATATATACCTTACCCAATTACCCAAGAGTAAAGCTTTACTGGTCAGGTTGGCAACCGTTGAACCACGAGTATTATTTACACACTCCTCCAGTCATTGTGCGCACAAAGTGCCCACACCTCTCACCTCTTGGCTTGACCTCTCAGAAGTCAAGATAGAGTGATCTGAATTAACCCAGAAAGTGCCACCTCATTTCCCCAATGCCACCTCTGCTTTGTGAAATACATTCCCAATAAAATGACATTGTAAATATTAACATGTCCTCATGGACGGTCTAGGAGGGTTGGGAGTTAGGGGCAGGGTAATGCAGTGGTTCCACTCCTTCCTCCTAGGCCGTGCGCAGAAAGTGGTGTTGGGGGTTGAGCATTTCAGAGCTTTGCATGCTCTGTTCACAGCCCACCTCTTTCTCTCCAGGACGTCTTCCAGGCTCTGAATTCTTCCTTGGCTGCTTTGGGAATTTCATCCATGTCCCATGAGCCAGCCAGCTGGGGTTGGGGGGCTCTCCTGGCTATGGGCAGCTGGGTGGGACTCTATTTATTCGCTTTTGCAAATAAAAGCCAGGATTATTTGCATATAAATGCTTTTGCAAATAAAGGCCAGGAATGTCTTCACTGACTGGCAGCAGCAACCTGGGATTTCATAACAAGGGTTTCTCCCAGATGCTGGGGGGGGGGTCAACCTGGGACCTTTTTCTTGGATGCAAGGCAGATAGAATAACAGAATTATATTTAGTTAGTTTATGTATTTCATAAATTCAATCACTGCTTGATTGCAAAACCCTAAAAGTGGTTAAAAGTAAAATGAAACTAAAAGATCGTGGAAAAGTCACCAGCATGCAGTCCAATCCTTTTCTGAGAACAGCAGTGTCAATGCCTATGATTTCAGAATCACAGCTGAACAATCCCCAAGAAATGAAAATGGAAGTTGACAACAGGACAAGAAAAATGGATTCTTTGCACCCTAATGATTGCCAAGAGGCTGATACTGATGAACTAACTGGAAGAATAAAAACATGACAACACGAAAGACAATGCAACACATGAACGGATTGCCTATAGACGCAGACTCTGTTTGGACAGATATATTGATATTTGGAATGAATTCATACTAAATGTAGTGGGATATTCGTAGCCATGTATGCATTAGGATAGTAACATCACTTATAGCTATATAGTAATGAATAGAAATGATATTTAAGTAAAGTCAATAAAAAAAGAAGAATGTGTGTGGGGCAGAAAATAGGCAAAGGTGCAGCGTGATACATTCAGTAATTTTGCTATACTTTCCCCCTAAAATATTTGGTGTGCATTTTGCACCAGGTATGAAGTGTTGGTTAGCTTAGTATTTTAAGAACAGCAATACATATAACAGCCCTAATAAAGGAACAAAGAAGAGACAGAAAGACTGAAACCACCTTCTTATGTGCACAAAGTAATCTTGAAAACCTTATATAGTGTTGTTATAAGTAAATAACAACACCACGTCATTCTTGGCTACGTGGAAGAAGTGGTCAGATAAGACATTATCTCTGGTGGTAGCAGGAATAAAGGGGGTGTTTGAGGGACGTGGGTGGCGCTGTGGGTTAAACCACAGAGCCTTGGACTTGCTGACCAGAAGGTCAGCGGTTTGAATCCCCGCGACGGGGTGAGCTCCCGTTGCTCGGTCCCTGCTCCTGCCAACCTACCAGTTCGAAAGCACGTAAAAGTGCAAGTAGATAAATAGGTACCGCTCTGGCGGGAAGGTAAACAACATTTCCGTGCACTGCTCTGGTTTGCCAGAAGCGGCTTAGTCATGCTGGCCACATGACCCGGAAGCTGTACGCCGACTCCCTCGGCCAATAAAGCGAAATGAGCGTCACAACCCGAGTCGGTCACTACTGGACCTAATGGTCAGGGGTCCCTTTACCTTTACCTTAGTGGGAGAACCAGGAAAGACCAGGTGTGTGACAGGAGTGTGCAAAATGCTTCACAGCTTCTGCAGAACTTGGCCAATTGGGAAAACCTATCCTAGAGAACTCAGTGGGAATTACTTCTGAGTAAAGTCTTTAGGATTGCACAAGAAAACATCGTGTAAATGGGGGGGGCACAGCACGAGACTCGGGGGCCACAGAGGCGAAGTGAGAAGTGAAGAAAAGAAAGCAGAGAAGTGCCCGTGCTTTGCAGTGGATTTATAAATAAAAACTATAAATAAAGGTCTACGTGAAAGCAAAACGTGTAAATAGCTATCTTTCTATGGGGGGCCCCACAGGAAGGAAAGAAGCTCGGAAGGCGGACATTGTCGGGAAAAGGCTGAGGGACACTGGGCTCCATGACCTTCGGGGCGGGGGGGTCCTTTCCCACTACTTTCCTAGGACTCTGCTTACAGGGAGCAATCTCCTGCCTCTCCCCCCTCCCCTGGGTCAATGAACTCGCTTCCTAGAGAGGCAGGAAGTGACGAAGGAGGGCGGGAGGGGGTCAGTTGGACAGCCTGCCCCCTCTTTAAATTGCAGTAAAGGGAATCGGAAACGTGAACAAGGGAGGCCAAATTAAGAGGCTGCATGTGGGAAGGTGGTGGTGAGAGCGAGGAGGGGGGAGAAAAGGACAAAGGGACTTCACCCCCCAGAAAGGGCCTTTCCTGGGACCCTTCGGCTGGCGAAAACCAAGGCCCCCCAACAAGCGCCCCTCGGGACGCGTCCCCGTTTCCCCCTGGCAGGAATCCCTCGGGAAGCTCCTGGCTGCGCGCGTGTGGCGAGGCGCGCTTCTTGCTGGACAGGAGGAGAGTGCACGGAATGGGTTACGGAAGCGAGAGAGCCGAGATGCCTAGAGAGGCCTGGGAAGAGACCCCTCCCTCCCCCACTTCCGTCTCTTACCTCCTCCCCCCCCCCCCCGCTCGTCTTGGGAGGCTCCTCCGGATGGAGAGGTCGGTGCGCTCGAGGGAGATTCCGCGCGCAGGACGAGGGGTGAGCCGTCCCAAGGGGGTCTCTGGAGAGACTGGGGACGGAGGGGGCAGAGGAACTTGGGGAGGAAGGGAAGCACCCCTGGGGGAGGAAAGCCCCGTCCAGCATTGGCAGCGGGTGCAGAGAGAGAAAGAGACGCTGCCCATCGGAAGGGAGGTCGCTGGCGGGGGAATCTCCGGAGACGCTGCCTTGGCTTTTCCCTCCTGCCCAGAAATCTGCCTTGGGGAGAGGGGTCCCTGAAAATGGGAGGGGGTCCAATTCCCCCCCTCCCCTCCTTCCTGGAAGCTGGACTCCTTCCTCCATCCCCCAGGCCAGCTGCTGCTGGGGGCTCCAGAAGCGGGACTCTGCTGCTGCTGCTTGGTTACACCGAGCCAGGCCATTGGTCCAGCAGGAGAGGAGAGGAGAGGAAAGGGCAGGAAGTTCTTGAGAGGAAGGAGAGAGGGCTGTCCAGAGGGGGTCTTTGCTTCTGGTATCCTCTTCCAGGAAGGACCAGAAAAAACCCGTCTGCCTCTCCCAGGGTTTCAGTTCTAAGCCTTAGTTCCACTGCATGGTTAATTGAGGGGATAATGTGGTCCACTACTCAAAAAAACATGGCTGGAGGTGCTAAGGAAATTCTTTCAGGATTTGTATATAATAGACATATTGACTGCCTTTCTGTATCTTTCTATATGTCAAAGGGAGTTACAAGCTGAGACACAATCCATCAGCACCCAAAGACAGTAAATGCATGCACCTTCACTGTCTGGGGTGCTTTAAGGGCAATGTGTCAGTTATCAGGATAGACAATGCCTGTGCCTGGAGGCTTTACACACAGACAGGTGCAGATGTAGATCAATTATTGCCATTATTACTGGCGAGGTGTGTGAGATTCCCATATCTACAAACACTGTGTGAGAGAAAGGGAGTGGGTGGGATCATTTTTTAAAGCAATGCTGAAGTTTTGTCTGTAACATTTGATGAACTGATATTGTGGTACGAATTCCAAAAGAACTTTGCAAAACCCACAAAGAAACACACAGGTTAATGGTGGCGTGAGCTTTCCTGGCCCACAATCTGCAGCATTCTCCTGCTGTCCACAAAGGTTTAGGCCATTGTAGGTTTATTCGCCTCCAATGGGCCACCAGGAACTTTGTTGTTTTTGCTTCAAAAGATAAATGTTCCTGAAGACTTTGACAGTCACATATGACATAAACGGCACTTCTCTTTTACTTGTTCCACACAGGAGAGACTCTGACTCACAAGTCTAAGCACATCTTGCTAGAAAAAGAAAAACACAGAAATGTGAAGGGGAGGTTGAGATGTAAGCCCTTTGAGTATGCAGTGAGACATTTCACTACGTTTGTTGTTGTTTAGTCGTTTAGTCGTGTCCGACTCTTCGTGACCCCATGGACCAGAGCACGCCAGGCACGCCTGTCTTCCACTGCCTCCCGCAGTTTGGTCAGACTCACTGCATTAAAACATATAAAAAGCCCTGTTGGATCGAGAAGATGACCCACTTTTGGCTTGTCTTCTGCAATTTCACCCATTTACCCATGTTTCTGTGGAGAGACATTGCCTCCAGTCCGCCCTTCCCTGCCCATTGCTAGGCAGGTTGTAAGCAGAGATACCTTTTTCTTTCTTTTTTACCTTTACGCAGAGATAACTACGTCCCACTCTTCCTCTCCATTCCACCAAATTCCCAGTATTAACCACTATATCAATTCTCATGTCTTTGGGATTTAAGGGAACGGGAAGATTGCTACTGAAATTCAGGGGTTCCTGTAGTCCATTATTACGATTGATTGAATTTGTTAGTCCCTTTAGTTTACCAGGTCAACCCAAAGAAACTTGCAACCAAACATTTTAGTGATTAGGACAAAATTGTCATTGGGAATTCTGAACCGGAGAAATAAATAGCAGGATTATGGGGAGAGAGAAGCTCCCTTTCCGGTGAGGAACCTCTGTATTTAAATTGGCAATTCAAGAGAACCAGTGTATCTAGGATCATGTTGCATTATTAACGATACTTGATCATGATTAAAAGTTGATGATGCATTACTATTATCTGACTTTATTTCATTTCCTAAAAAATAGGAACATAGAAAAAGGAAGAGTGTAGGAGATGTTAAATTAAGAGAAGGTACCAAAGGCACTTGATGTGTGTTATATTCCTTTGTCCTCTTCTTTACAGGATTTCCTTTCCCCCTACTCGGAAGCAAGCGATAGAAAGGACAGTCAGAGCAATCTGTACTTTCATTAGGAATCATGAATAAACCATTTCAATATATGGAATAAACAATGTGATTCAGTCAGTGAACACACTTAGTTCACATCAATGAACTGAAATTGTGGAGATACCACTTAACGGTATGGATTGTGGCAAGGACATCTGTGGGAGTGGTACTCCTACAAAGCATCAAGGAACTCACACAGGGGAAAAACCATTTAAATGCATGGAGTGTGGAACATGCTTCCGTCATAGACAATCGCTAAGAAGGCATCAATATACTCATACAGGGGAGAAACCATATAAATGTTTTGAGTGTGGAAAATGCTTCACACAGAGTGGAAACCTCTGTATACATATGCGAATTCACACGGGGGAGAAACCATTTAAATGTATGGAGTGTGGACAGAGCTTCCTTTTGAGTAATCAACTTAATGCACATCATCAAACTCACACGGGTGAGAAACCATTCAGATGTATGGAGTGCGGAAAGAGCTTCTCTCAGAGTGGACAGCTTAAAAGACATCAGCGAAGTCACACAGGGGAAAAACCATTTAAATGCATAGAGTGTGGGAAGTGCTTCATCGATAGTGGAACACTTAGAAAACATCAATGGACTCACACAGGGGGAAAACCATTTAAATGCATAGAGTGTGGAAAGAGCTTCATCGATAGTGGAACACTTAGAAAACATCAACGAACTCACACAGGGCAGAAACCATTTGAATGCATGGAGTGTGGAACAAGCTTCCGTCATAGAGAATCACTAATAATGCATCAATGTACTCATACAGGGGAGAAACCATATAAATGTTTTGAGTGTGGAAAATGCTTCACACAGAGTGGAAACCTATATATACATATGCGAACTCACACGGGGGAGAAACCATTTAAATGTATGGAGTGTGGAACGAGCTTCCTTTTGAGTAATCACCTTAATGCACATCATCAAACTCACACTGGTGGGAAACCATTCAGATGCATGGAGTGCGGAAAGAGCTTCTCTCAGAGTGGACAGCTTAAAACACATCAGCGAACTCACACAGGGGAAAAACCATTTAAATGCATAGAGTGTGGAAAGAGCTTCAGTGAGAGTGGAACACTTAGAAAACATCAACGGACTCACACAGGGGGAAAACCATTTAAATGCATAGAGTGTGGAAAGAGCTTCAGTCAGAGTGGAAACCTTAAAAACCATCAACGAACTCACACAGGGGAAAAACCATTTAAATGCATAGAGTGTGGAAAGAGTTTCTCTCAGAGTGTGCACCTTAAAAACCATCAACGAACTCACACAGGGCAGAAACCATTTAAATGCATAGAATGTGGAAAGAGCTTCAGAGTTCATGGAACGCTTAGAAGACATAATCAAATTCACACAGGGGAAAAACCATTTAAATGCATGGAGTGTGGAAAATGCTTCCGTCAGAGTGGAAGCCTTAATGCACATCTACAAATTCACACAGGGGAGAAACCTTTTAAATGCATGGATCATGGGGAAAGCTTCACTAGAAGTGGAATGCTTAGAAGACATCAGCAAACTCACAGGGGAAAAACAATTTAAATGTATGTTTGGTTGCAGAATAAATCCAGGCATATCTGGAGGATATGGACCATTTGGACTGCATTTCTTCCAGTTGAGTGTCAGGCCCTGCCATCAGACTGAGACCGCCTTGTTGGCACTGGTTGATTATCTCTGGCAGGCAAGGGACAAAGGTAAAAGCTGTTTCCTGGTTCTGCTGGATCTCTCAGTTTCTTTTAATGCCATTGACCACGGTATCCGGTTACCAATTTGTGATAAAAATATATACCTTACCCAATTACCCAAGAGTAAAGCTTTACTGGTCAGGTTGGCAACCGTTGAACCACGAGTATTATTTACAAACTTCTCCAGTCATCGTGCGCACAAAGTCCCCACACCTCTCACCTCTTGGCTTGACCTCTCAGAAGTCAAGATAGAGTGATCTGAATTAACCCAGAAAGCGCCACCTCATTTCCCCAATGCCACCTCTGCTTTGTGAAATACATTCCCAATAAAATGACATTGTAAATATTAACATAGCCTCATGGACGGTCTAGGAGGGTTGGGAGTTAGGGCAGGGTAATGCAGTGGTTCCACTCCTTCCTCCTAGGCCGTGCGCAGAAAGTGGTGTTGGGGGTTGAGCATTTCAGAGCTTTGTAAAAAAAACTTCCGGGTTGGCGCCTCCGGCAATGGCGGAGCTCCTCCGATCGGGAGGAACTTGCTCCGTGAAAAGCAGGGTCTGACCGCCATGGCGAAGGCGGAGACCCATTGAAATCACAAGCGGGAGAAGCTTGTGAACCTGGGATTCGGCTGGCACCTTTTGCGCCTCCCCTACTCGCGGGGAAACCCTGTTTTGGGGATCCGGAGCGACGTAGGGTGAGTGGCGCGGTGCTTCGAATTGACTGCTTCTTTCACGGAGTGAAGCCGCATTGCTGTTGCCGGAGAGCGCCTACTTTTTCCTGTGGACAATTGGACTTTAAACAACTATCCGTGAGTAGAACGGAAAATTGGATCCTTAAATACCTTAATTTGGCACCGAAACGGGAAGGTCTTAAACAGGAAGTCCGCCTTCCTCTTTTGTAAATAGATTGAAGCAAAGACGTTACAAGCTAAAGTCTTGGAAAGCCTTTGGCAAAGGATTAAATTTCCATCGGTTAAAATTACAAAAACCCCCTTGGAAGCAGGAGAAGAGGGGGGAAATTTTGGACCTAGTGAGCCTGCAGGAGAGAGTGAAAAATCAAATTACCACTGCTCTGAACCTGGAAAAGGGCTGCCAGAAAGAGTGACGTTTTGGGAGAGTGCATTGACTGCAAACAGAACGTATTTGACAGCTAGTTAAATAAGAGAAAGATACTGTTTCCATTGTCCCCTTCTGCGTTTAAAAAGGAGGAAAAGTAACTGAAAATTGAAACTATCTTTATGGCTTGAGTTGTGTTTGAAAGGATTGATACAAGTGGAGATTGTTTCCCTCTAGAGGGAGCTTTTGAAACTGTTACAGGAGTGTAACTGGGGAATCTCCAGCTGCAAGATAAGAAATTGTGAGAACCAGAGATTGACCTTGGACCATTTAAAAATGTTGACAGGAGAAGCCATAGTGACTGTATTATGCAAGATAAGCTATTCGCTGGAACAGCTTCATAAGAAGACGGATGACATGGCTTTTAAAATAGACAACTTGGGACAAAAAGCGATTAATATGGGACAAAAAGTGAGCACCAACACAGAAATAATTCAGGACTTGGTACAGGAATCTACTTTGGCAGGACAAATTGTGGAGGAGAAGGAGAAAGCTGTTGTTGTTGAGCCTAACTTAATACAAACGGGATCTTCAGTCTTACAGAAGAAAATTGAGGACTACAAGTTGAGGCCTTCTATGATCAAATCTAGAAAAAGTCAGATTCTGAGGATCGGATCCCGGCCTGGACTGAAGAAGGAAAGTTGGAAAGATCCCTCTATGCAGGGATTAACTGACTTCTGGGACATGGACTTGGGTCTGGAGGAGATTGAAGTTCTGGGGGCCTTTGGATTTGGAGGAATCTTGAAACATGTCCTGAAACACTTTATGGATCTTAGCTTCAACTATGGAAATTTGGCTGATCTGTCCAGAAGGAATAAAAGTATTGTCAGGTTGGAGTCTTCCAGAGAAGATGCTCTTTAGAATTAAAGAATATGAAGAAGACCTGCAGAAGGGACCTGGAAAAGAGTTAAGAGCCTCGGACATAAGATCTCCAGGTTGATGGACTATATGGAATTGACGGAAAGGACTGGCAGAATCCGAAACCATGGAGAGGAGCTGGTGGAAGAAGATTGGAAAATTTAAAGTTTATATATATATATATATATACTGTAAAATTAATGAGTGATAGAAAAATGGTGGAATGAAATTTTACGGCCTTAGCAGAAATGTTATAAGGAGTTAAGCATATATAAGTATTTTAGTTTTAATGGAAAATAAGGTTAAAAATATGTTGAGATATTTATAATATGATAGAAAATAGAGAAAGATGGAAAGGATTTGCTGAAACAATTAATAGAAGTGGAATACAAAAAGGGAGGTGAGAGGAGGTCGAGGAAACAAGGGAATGAAAGATAGAGTATGGAAAAGGTGTGATGTATGTTTTTAAATTGTTTTTGTTTTGTTTTATTTAGGGTTAGGGTTAGGATTTTGTTTAGTTTAGTTTAATGTGTTTAGTTTAATGTGTTTAGGTTGTGTTTTGTATTGTTTATATATTGTATTGTATTGCTTTTTTTCTCTTTTGTTTCTTTTTTCTCTTGTCTTCTTTTCTTTCCTTTTCCTTTTCTGTAATTTTTAAAAGTAATAAATATTATTTTAAAAATAATAATAATAAAGAGCATTTCAGAGCTTTGCATGCTCTGTTCACAGCCCACCTCTTTCACTCCAGGACGTCTTCCAGGCTCTGAATTCTTCCTTGGCTGCTTTGGGAATTTCATCCATGTCCCATGAGCCAGCCAGCTGGGGTTGGGGGGCTCTCCTGGCTGTGGGCAGCTTGGTGGGACTTTATTTATTCGCTTTTGCAAATAAAAGCCAGGATTATTTGCAAATAAATGCTTTTGCAAATAAAGGCCAGGAATGTCTTCACTGACTGGCAGCAGCAACCTGGGATTTCATAACAAGGGTTTCTCCCAGATGCCGGGGGGGGGGTCAACCTGGGACCTTTTTCTTGCATGCAAGGCAGATAGAATAACAGAATTATATTTAGTTAGTTTATGTATTTCATAAATTCAATCACTGCTTGATTGCAAAACCCTAAAAGTGGTTAAAAGTAAAATGAAATTAAAAGATCGAGGAAAAGTAACCAGCATGCAGTCCAATCCTTTTCTGAGAACAGCAGTGTCAATGCCTATGATTTCAGAATCACAGCTGAACAATCCCCAAGAAATGAAAATGGAAGTTGACAACAGGACAAGAAAAATGGATTCTTTGCACCCTAATGGTTGCCAAGAGGCGGATACTGATGAACTAACTGGAAGAATAAAAACATGACAACACGTAAGACGATGCAACACATGAACGGATTGCCTATAGACGCAGACTCTGTTTGGACATATATATTGATATTTGGAATGAATTCATACTAAATGTAGTGGGGTATTCGTAGCCATGTATGCATTAGGATAGTAACATCACTTATATCTATATAGTAATGAATAGAAATGAAATTTAAGTAAAGTAAATAACAACACCTTGTCATTCTTGGCTACATGGAGGGCGAAGTGTTCAGCTAAGACATTATCTCTGGTGGCAGCAGGAATAAAGGGGGTGTTTAGTGGGACGCGGTTGGCGTTAGTGGTGTTTAGTGGGATGTGGGTGGCGCTGTGGGTTAAACCGATCATAAGGGCTTGCCGATCATAAGGTCGGCAGTTCGAATCCCCACGACAGGGTGAGCTCTCATTGCTTGGTCCCTGCTCCTGCTGACTTAGCAGTTTGAAAGCACGTCAAAGTGCAAGTAGATAAATAGGTACTGCTCTGGCGGGAAGGTAAACGGTGTTTCCGTGCGCTGCTCTGGTTCGCCAGAAGCGGCTTTGTCATGCTGGCCACATGACCCGGAAGCTGTACACCGGCTCCCTCGGCCAATGAAGTGAGATGAGCGCTGCAACCCCAGAGTCGGCCACGACTGGACCTAATGGTCAGGGGTCCTTTTACCTTTACCTTTAGTGGGAGAACCAGGAAAGACTCCTCTCTGCATGTTTTGCAGGGCATGAGAAGGTGGCACAGGGGACTGTTGGAGCATCTTGAATCAAGCAGGCGTGTGACAAGAGTGTGCAAAATGCTTCACTGTAAGCTCATAGCTAATTTCCCCCAAAATGACACCCATGGGGAGAAACCATATGGGGATGTACAATGTGGGGAAAGGTTTGGTCCGGCTCCTGAAATCAGAGCGCTAAAGCAGCTTTTCCCAATAGGTAGTCTGCCTACTCCAGGGAACCTTCCCCCCCCCCTCAGGGGGTCAGCAGCACCATTCACACAACAGAAACTATGGAAGAGACAGGGGAAATTTCATATGTGTGGCTCCATGGCAACCTTTAGGATTGAACAGGATTTTTACTCAGAAGTCAGGCCCACCCAATTCAATGGAGTAGCTCAGCGTTTCTAAAGGGGGGGGGGCGCATATGGATATTCCAAGGGGGTTACAGGGGAACATGATATTCCAATGGGGGGGGCCAGGGCATGAGACTCGAGGGCCACATAGGGAAGTGAGAAGCGAAGAAAAGAAAGCAAAGAAGTGCTCGTGCTTTGCAGTGGATTTCTAAATAAAAGCTACAAATAAAACATGGTCTGTTCACAAGGAAAATATTTAAATAGCTACCTTTCTCGGTCAATGAACTCCTAGAGAGGCAGGAAGTGACGGAGGAGGGCGGGGGGGGGTAGAGGCAATGTTGGAGGGGTGGGGTCTCCATGCACACCCCCGGAAGAGAAGGAGGCCTGCAAAGGAGGAGGGAGAAGGTGCAACATTTCGGGAAGGGGAGATTTGGGGTGCAGGGAGGGAGAAGAATTTGCTTTTCCTGCCCCTGAATCTACAAAGGGGGGAGGGGGGTGAAAGCAAGGAAGGGCTCCCCCTTTCCCTCTGGGAATCAGGAGAGGCGATCTGCAATCGGCTGCAAGGGGGGGGGGTCCTCTACCTCAAACAAGGTTTGCATTGCAGGATGAACCCCAGAACCCTGAACTGCCGCCCCCTGCCTCAGTCGGGATCATGAAACCATAGGAGCCAACTCATAGGGGCCCGAGGGGTCTTCTTCCCACCCACCCCCGTAAGATATTTGCGGGTGCTGCCCCCAATATTTTATTCAAGTTGGCATCCCTGTATGGGGCGGGGGGAGATATGGAGGGTGGGAGGGAGTCTGCTTTGGTGCAGGGGAAGCAGCTGGAGAACAGAGTCGCCTGTGGATTGGGAGAGAGGGGGGAGATTTTGAGTTGGGTGGGGGGTGAGAGGTGGACAATGTCAAGGGGAAATCGGCCTTCGGAGCTTCCTGAGTAAGAAAGAGGCTGATGTGAGAAGGAAGGGGACCCCCCCCCCCAGCTCCCCTTTCAGAAATCCTAGTCTGGCCGGCTGAGGTTGCTTTGGCACAAAGGAAAGAGGCCTGTTGGGTTTCCCATGTTGGGGGGTGCACTTGGGGGGGTTGCTGTGCTGCTTTTGTGCCCCAAAACTGGAGGGAAGAGGGTCGTTTTCCATTTCCTGAAGCATGAAAAAGCACCTGTCAGTTTCCCTCCTGCTTGGCAAGGGAAATGGTCTCATGGATGGCAGGATTTGAAACTAATCCAGGTCTCAGAAGCCTGCCAGGTCTTAGGAGGTCTCAGGAGCTTTAAAAAGCTTGACGGCAAAGACTGGAGGAATTAAATAAATGACCCCCCCCTCCCCAGCTGGACTTGGAGGAAAGAGGAGGGGGGATGAGTTTTGGATGCTGTTTCTTTCCAAAAAGAGGCTTCTCCAGATATACTCTTGGGACTTTGTCGGGAAGGAGAATCAAAGCTCCCAGGGGTGGGGAGATCTGGCCTGCCTTGCAGGATTGGCCCAGCGCAGAGGTGCTGAGGGACTTTCTCTGCCGGTGCTGCCAGCCTCGCTCCTGCCTGGCTTCGTCCCCATCCAGGTTGCCAGGAGGGTCTTATAATACTGTAGGTGTTCTGAAGCCCACCACCTGGGCAATGCTCACACAAGAACCCTGCAAGGTGGGCCAGGATGACAGCCAGTTTAGTGTTTGGAACAGGGGGTGGAGACCATTATCCAGCCTGAGGGCCATATTCGCTCCTGAGCAGCCTTTCAGGGGCCACTTTCCTTTGATAGGCGGGCCAGAGAACAGAGTTGATGGGGCTATGGGGCTGACTCTGAGCTTTGTCCAGGAGCTGCCTGCCTTCCTGGGATTTTTCCCAGCCACACAAAAAAAACCTCAGGAGGCAGCTCGGAAGTGTTGGAAAGAAGGTGTGGTGCTGGGGAAATTCCTGAGGGCCAGAGACAGAGACAGAAAGGATTTGAGGGCCAATTTAGCCCCTGGGTCTGAGGTTTCTCACCCTGCAGTTCGGGTGCTGGGCTTCCACCAGGGAGACCCTGTCTCCCATCCCCATGCTCAGGAGGGATGCCCTGTGCCCAGTTTGGACCCCTTGATTATTTCTCCTCCTGTCCTTCCTCACAGTGTAGGGAAGATAAAAGGGGACACACACACACACAGGTTCCTAAGAGGAAGGACTAGGGGGCCATAAGCCACTGAACTTCATATCTCTGTCCCCTAAACTACAATCCATGTTAGCGCATAGAGTGCTCTAAATATTTCCGTCTACTCTTCCTGGGTGGTTGTTTGGAGGAAAGGAAAAGCGAGGTCTGCAGACGTGCTGACCGTAATGCTTTCTGCGAAGCTTCATTAAGAGTTTGAGATTTGATCCTAGAACTTTACAAACCGAACTGAAGGTTCCCTAAAGACTGAGGCAGCTTATATTATTATAAAGTTCCTGTAGAAAGGATTACATCCTTCCCGTTCACTGCCTTTGTAATGAGTATTAGTTTTTGAGTATTGATATTTGTACAGTGGTACCTTGGGTTACAGACGCTTCAGGTTACAGACCCCACTAACGCAGAAATAGTACCTCTGGTTAAGAACTTTGCTTCAGGATGACAACAGAAATCGTGCAACAGCGGTGCAGTGGCAGCAGGCTGCCCCATTAACTAATGTGGTACCTCAGGTTAAGAACAGTTTCAGGTTAAGAACGGACCTCCGGAACGAATTAAGTTCTTAACCCGAGGTACCACTGTAATTTGTAACAGGTATGCTATCTGTGTAAATGTTTCCCACCCTAATTAAATCCATCTTTCTGTGAACTGCCCTGAGACCTCCAGGTATAGGGCGGTATATGAATTCAATTAATAACAATTATTATTATTATTATTTCGTCTTCATTGTTCTCCTAAAACGGCTGCTCCCTGCATTGAGTGCATCGTGGCAACAGCTGAGAGAGTCCTGGAAGTGGCCCTGTTTCCGCCTCCTCCTCCTCCTCCGTCCTTTCCACTGGCAGCGCAATGGCCTCTGAGACCCCCTCTGAACGGCCTCTTCTCAGAGGTGGAGTGGAAAGAGGAGCCAGGCAGCTTCCTCAGGTAGGGAAAGAGCAACGGGAGCAGGGAGGAGGGAAGAGGCACAGATGGGACCACCCAGCCTCCCTCTGTGTTGAGTGGGGATGATGGGGATCTAAGAGCAGCTCTGTTTTCTTCCTCTTCTTCTTCCAGGCCCTCTTGACCTTTGATGAGGTGGCTGTGTTTTTCACGGAGGAGGAGTGGGCTCTGCTGGATCCTGGCCAACAAGCTCTGCACACGGAAGTCATGCAGGAGAATTATGAGATGGTGGCCTCTCTAGGTAAGGGCAGATTTGTCTTGGCTGCTAGACATTGAAAGGGTGAATCTCCTGTTTGAGCCATTTCGTGCCGTGTCTTCTTCTTTGGTGAGTCGAATAAGATTGTCTTCCATGAACATGGTCTTAACAGTATGTCCGTGACTGTAGAGTCCAATTCTGGATGTACACATTATTCCACAGTGGGGACATAGGTTTCCAGGCAGGAGTTAATTACAGTGAGGGTTTGCCAAACGTACATTCCTCTTAGCTTGTTTCTCCCTTTCATCCAGTGTGGTGTAGTGGTTAAAAGCAGTGGACTTGTAATCTGGTGAACCGGGTTCGTGTCTCCGCACCTCCACATGCAGCTGCTGGGTGACCTTGGGCCAGTCACACTTCTTTGAATTCTCTCAGCCCCACTCACCTCACAGAGTGTTGTGGGGGAGGAAGGGAAAGGAGAATGTTAGCCACTTTGAGACTCCTTTGGGTAGTGATAAAGTGGGATATCAAATCCAAACTCTTCTTCTTCTTCCTGAGTTTGTACTTCTTCAAAGTCCATGGCGCCTTGGTAATGACTATTCTGCAATTGGATGATGATGATGATGATGATAATTTATTCATTTCCCGCCCATCTGCCCGGGTTTCCCCAGCCACTCTGGGCAGCTTCCAACAAAATATTAAAAATAGAATCAAACATTAAAAACTTCCCTAAACAGGGCTGCCTTCAGACGACTTCTAAAAGTCAGATAGTTGTTTATTTCCTTGACATCTGATGGGAGGGCGTTCGACTGGGCGGGTATTGCTACTGAGAAGGCCCTCTGCCTGGTTCCCTGTAACCTCACATCTCACAGTGAGGGAGCACTCGCAGGCCAGTGTTTCCCAATTTCCTTTGCTTATACTGCATTTTTAAGATTTGCCTTGGGAGCATCTTTAAACCTCTCTTGTTGTCCACCACTATATCAATTTCCATTCTTAAAGTGGGAATAGAGTGGTTTCTTTGGAAGATGATAATCAGGCATCTGAACAACATGACCAGTCCAACGAAGTTGATGTTGAAGATTGTACTTTATAGCAACACTATACTTTTGTCAGTAGGTAACTCTTCATAAGTTGATATTGTGGAATGAATTCACAAAAAACCCTATGTATAATATACAAAGAAGGGCCCATCTTCTCCAGCATCCTGGTGCAGGTTTAGGTGATGTGTGTTAGAATGCCTACTGCGAGATTGCAGTCATGGGATTGTTGTCTATCACATGATGGTATATGTTTTGACTCCACAGAGTGGGAAGTGACAGAGACAGAATGTTTGTGTTACTGTGTTCTGTGAAGTGGGACTATTGTCCTTTGTTCTTTTTCTCTTTGCCGTCTGATGCTAGAGAGAGAAGGAGCCATGTTGCAGTGCTCCGTGTGTGTTTATATGTAAATAAAGTAGATTAGCCAACATACTGAGTTGCTGGGTTTCTGTCACAAGCGGCGCAAACTCTGTGGATCTCGAAGTATGCCGGTGTCAGTTGGCATCGGTCACTGTGATATTCGGGCTGAAGAAAGCTTACGAAGCTCCCGAACAATCAACCAGGAGGGAGAGAACATGCCAGTCAGGCATGTGTCTCTGGCAGGGTCCTACTCGAGTGTAGGCTGAACTCCTGACAATGTGTACAGCTGGTTGGAATGTATCAGCAAGATATTACAGATCAGGGAGGAAGGAGAAAACTGAATACAGAGGCGTAGCATTTTCACAGGAGTAGGAAGATGGAAAAAGTGTGTCCCTTCAGATGTTGCTGCACTACAACTCCCATCATCCCTGGTCATTGGCCATCTTTACTTGGGTTGATGAGTCCAACCACATCTTGAGGGCCATAGATGCCTCACCTCAGCATAGAAGGTTTCTCTTGGTGCTCAGTGTTACATGGGATTTGAACTGCATACTAAGAGTTCTGGAGATTATTTTCAGATTTCCTTTCCTAAAAATGTGGTGCATGGGAGAGGGAGGAATACTGGACTTGTTAAAATAAGAGAAAGTGCTGATTGGTCTTGCTGTGTGTTAATATCTCTAATATTTTCTTCCTTGAATACCTAACAATATTTTCTTTTCCCCAACTTTCAACCAGGTGATGGAGAAGACAACCAGAATTATGAGGGGCCATCTGTGAAGTACTTCATTGTGAGTGAACACCATAGCACACATCTACAAACTAACACAGGGGAGAAACCCTTTAGTTGTACGGAGTGTGGAAAGAGTTTCAGGCAGTCTTCACACCTTACTAAACATCTACGAATTCACACAGGGGAGAAACCATTTAGGTGTATGGAGTGTGGGAAGGGCTTCAATCACAGGGGAAGCCTTAAATACCATCAACGAACTCATACAGGGGAGAAACCTTTTAAATGTATGGAGTGTGGGAAGGGTTTCAGTGAAGGTGGAAAACTTACAAGACATCACCAAACTCACACTGGGGAGAAACCCTTTAGTTGTACGGAGTGTGGAAAGAGCTTCAGTCACAATGGAACACTTATTGTACATCTACGAACTCACACAGGGGAGAAACCCTTTAGATGTATGGAGTGTGGAAAGAGCTTCAAGCAGAATGGAAACCTTACCCAACATCAACAAACTCACACAGGGGAGAAACCCTTTAGTTGTACGGAGTGTGGAAAGAGCTTCAGGCAGTGTTCACACCTTACTAAACATCAACGAACTCACACAGGGGAGAAACCCTTTAGATGTATGGAGTGTGGAAAGAGCTTCAGTCAGAGTGGAAACCTTAAATACCATCAACGAACTCATACAGGTGAGAAACCTTTTAAATGTATGGAGTGTGGGGAGGGTTTCAGTGAAGGTGGAAAACTTACAAGACATCACCAAACTCACACTGGGGAGAAACCCTTTAGTTGTACAGAGTGTGGAAAGAGCTTCAGTCACAATGGAACACTTATTGTACATCTACAAACTCACACAGGGGAGAAACCCTTTAGATGTATGGAGTGTGGAAAGAGCTTCAAGCAGAATGGAAACCTTACCCAACATCAACAAACTCACACAGGGGAGAAACCATATGAGTGTATGGATTGTGGAAAGTGCTTCAGTAGCAGTGTAACTCTTAGAAAACATCAACAATCTCACAGGGAAGCAACAGTTTAAATGTTAGGAGTGTGGAAAGTGTTTCAATTATAATGGAGTTCTTAATTAACAGCTACGGACTCTCACAGGGAAGAACCCATTCAGTTTTATAGAGTGTGCCAGGTTTTCCCCACAGAGTTCACTTTGTCTCTCATATCAACAAACTCTTATGTGGAAAATCCATTGTAAATGCATGGAGTGTGTTTTATGTTCTGGTGTTTGTATGGAATGTTGTACATATACGTATTAAAGCAATGAGGGTAATGTCACATAATAGTAAGTTTAATGAAAGATATAATGTGCAGTTAGGAATGTGCAGACTGTGGCTCTGGTGTGCTCATTGTGAGTGAACATGTCTGAGAATCCGTTGATATTTGGTCTTTGTAAAGAGAATTGGGAATGCGGAGTTGTGAAAAGTGGAGCACGACAGTTGTGTTTAGGAAGCAGGATTGGCTCTGGAATCCTGGAACTGTAGAGTTGAAAGTGACTCCAAGGGTCTTCTAGTCCAATTCCCTGTTACAAGAACAGCAGCATAAATCCCATTCTTATAATTGCAATAAAGGAACAATGAAAACTCAGAAAGACTGAAAAGTAATCCTTAAACCGTCCTACGTTGTTTATCTTTTAAAAATTCATTGTTTTACAATACCTTCTCATTCATGGCTACATGTCATGTTCGGGAGTTCCCCCCTCCCTTTTGGTAGCTCACCGATGAGAATTAATGAGCAGTTGGTAGATTTCTAGTCTTTTTATTACTGTATCATGTTGCTAGCACAAACAGGCAACTCCTCGCAAGGATAGCAGTTCTTACCCACATCCAACGGGATGTCCCTCCTTCCCAGCTTCTCCTTTGTTGTGACTGATGTATCACCCAGCTGCTTCCCTCCTTCCTGTTTCCTAGCTACTATCTCAAAGCTGGGTAGCTCCTGTCTCAACTGTGCAGCCTCTGAATCTGCCTGTCTCTCTGCATTGTGAAACTCTGGAAGGGCAGGGGGGACTTCCCTCTCCTCTTCTGTTACAAGCTGATCTTCCAGAAATTGCATTCCCCAGTCCTCCGATTCAGACCAGCCCCTGACACTAAACTGCAAAGTGGACAAAGTTCCATGGTGGCAGCCAGACTGAAAGAGGTGCTGAGGGGAAGAACCAATATGGGGAGGGAAGGTGGCACAGGGAAATGTGGGCATTGCCAGTGGTTTCAGGAGAGTCATTTCCCTGCGGAGAGAGGAATCTCTGTGCCCCCGTAACTGGCCCATCTTTCAGAAATCTGTAGAAAGAGCAGGCAGTATAGGAGGCTGAAAGTGGAGTTCACCTGGAGCTGCTCCTCCCTCTGCCGGCATTGAGCATTTGCCCATGACATGAAGCAGCCACAGCAGGTGCTGCAAGATGCCCACAGTTGGACTTCACCCCCAAAGGCCCCCTCCTCCATCGCCTCCCGAGACAGACGGATGCCAACAGGGTCTCTCTGCCTGCCAGGATTGCACCTGGGACCTTCTCCTGCATGCAAAGCATTGAATTTGAGACACCTTTATTAAAACAACAATATTCAATTATTCAAAGTAAATACAGCTTTGTCCACTGCCATAATATCACAGAATGACCACTCCAGTCCTCAGTCCCACATCACGGTCATGTTGGCTCCCCCAACACCCTCAATAGGAGCCCAACTACCCATCTGCTTGGCTAGACACTTCCAATCATAATATCCCCTCCACAAATACCTCTGTGATGACGGTGGTGGTGGCATTAAAATATCCTGTTGTTCTTCAATCAAGGGAGAAAAAGGGAGACCAGATTGTGTCAAAGGTATCTTTTTTGGAGATACCTTTGATGAGACACTAATGGCATGTGAGGCGTTCTGACAGAGTAACGGTCCAGATGTTATTGATCCAAGCTTCTATTGCCCTTTTAGAGGTTTCCTTCCATCGTTCCGCAATAACTGTAGTCTAGCTGCTGTGAACAGAAAGGAAATTAATTCTTTAGATTGAAGCGTAGAATAAGGGGTCAATTATATAAATATGGAAGACAAGAGAAGGCAGTGGAAGACAGGAGTGCCTGGCGTGCTCTGGTCCATGGGGTCATGAAGAGTCCGACACGACTAAACAACAACAATGCTTATAATAAGATAAGTGCTGATTAAGGACGGATAGATTGTTTAGAGATTTTGGAGGTCTGATAAAAACCTCTTCCCCAGAAGACATGGACCATGGTACACCCCAACCAAACGCGAAAGTGGGAATCCGAGACCTTCTGCATGCAAAGCAAATGTTCTACCACTGAGCTGCACCCCCCCCCCCGAAAACACAACAAAGCCTAACTTTCTCCATCAGCTCCCTCTTTTTACAAAAGGCACGCACTGAAACGACACTGGACCACCATTTAGGATTGTCTTTAAGTTACTGCTCTAAACCCCTTTCCAGGAGGCGGCTTTTCAGAAATGCGGGGGGGGGGGTCGTCTTTCGCTGCCCCTGCGGGGAATTGAACCCATGAATTTCTCACTAAATAAACGGGAATGTAGAGCTTGCCGGCTGGGAAGGAAATTCATGTTTGCAGGGAGGGGGAGGCGGATCTCCTGCCCCTCCCCCTCCCTCTGGGTCAATGAGCTCCGCTTCCTAGAGAGGCAGGAAGTTATTTTTTGGGGGGGAGGCAATTTGGAGGGGAGGGGTCTCCATCCTCATTCGCGGAAGAGAAGCGGACTTGGAGAAGAGGAGAAAGAGGTGCCGCATATTGGGGGGTTATTGGGGGGGGGAGAAGGATTTGCTTTCCCTCCCCCTGAATCTACAAACAGGGTGACTGGGAAAGGAGGCGGGAGGATTGGGGGGGGGGGGTGCAAAGAAAGCAGGGAGGGGCTCCGCTCTTTTCCTGTGGGAATCATGGGGGGGGCTGGATGCAGGCCATCCTGTTGCAAAGTGGGGTCCCCCTCCCCCAACAGGATTTGCATTGCAAGATCCTTTTTGAAGTGCAGCGAAGACGCTTGAGACGAACCAGAAAAGGGTCCCCCCCCCAGTGGAACTTAATTACAAAGGGATTCGCAGCCCCACCCTGTGCATGTTGACGCAGAAGTCAGTCCTTCTCCGTTCAAAGGGGGGCAGCCCCATTCCACTTAGTGATGCTCCTCTCTGTTTAACAGCCTCCATCTCCCTTCTCACTGCTGCCCCACTCCTTCCCCCCCATCGCTCCCCCCAGGCTCTGCCTCCTGCGTCAGGGAGCCAGTCTGGACGGGAGGGGAGGGGAGGGGTGAGCTCCTTCAGGATCCTGATCTGCCCCCCTCCGAAATCTGCTGCTGAAGCCCCTGCCTCAGTGGGGCGGAGATCTGGAGGGCAAGCAGGGGAGAGGAAGTGGAAGCAGCTGGAGAACAGAGTCGCCTCTGGATTGGGAGAGATTTTGAGTTGGGTGGGGGGTGAGAGATGGACAGTGTCAAGGAAAATCAGCCTCTGCAGCTTCCTGAGTAAGAAAGAGGCTGATGTGAGAAGGAAGCAAAAAGAAACGAGAATTTACTTCTTGGGAAGGGGGCGGACCCCCCAGCTAGTCTTGGGGAATGAAACTGATCCCCCCTCACAGATTTTGGTGCTGTTTCTTTCCAAAAAGAGGCTTCTCCAGATATTCTCTTGGGACTTTGTCGGGAAGGAGAATCAAAGCCCCCAGGGGTGGGAGATCTGGCCTGCCTTGCAGGATTGGCCCAGCGCAGAGGTGCTGAGGGACTTTCTGTGCCGGTGCTGCCAGCCTCGCTCCTGCCTAGCCTCATCCCCATCCAGGTTGCCAGGAGGGTCTTATAACACTAAAGGTGTTCTGAAGCCCACCACCTGGGCAATGCTCACACAAGGACCCTGCAAGGTGGGCCAGGATTACTGCCAGTTTAGTTTTTGGAACAGGGGTTGAGACCATTATCCAGCCTGAGGGCCACATTCGCTGCTGAGCAGCCTTCCAGGGTCCACTTTCCATTGATGGGCAGGGCCAGAGGACAGAGTTGGTGGGGCTATGGGGCTGACTCTGAGCTTTGTCCAGGAGCTGCCTGCCTTCCAGGGATTTTTCCCAGTCCCACAAAAAAACCTCAGGAGGCAGCTGGGAAGCGTTGGAAAGAGGGTGTGGTGCTGGGGAAATTCCTGAGGGCCAGAGAGAGAGAAAAAAAGGATTTGAGGGCCAATTTAGCCCCTGGGTCTGAGGTTCCCCACCCTGCAGTTCGGGTGCTGGGCTTCCACCAGGGAGACCCAGTTTCCCATCCCCCTGCTCAGGAGGGATGCCCTGTGCCCAGTTTGGACCCCCTGATTATTTCTCCTCCTGTCCTTCCTCCCAGTGTAGGGAAGATAAAGGGGGGGGCACACACAGAGACACAGGTTCCTAAGAGGACGGACTAGGGGGCCATAAGCCACTGAACTTCATATCTCTGTCCCCTAAACTACAGTCCATGTTAGCGCATAGAGTGCTCTAAATATTTCCATCCACTCTTCCTGGGTGGCTGTTTGGGGGAAAGGAAAAACGAGGTCTGCAGAGGTACTGACCATAATGCTTTCTGCGAAGCTTCATTAAGAGTTTGAGATTTGATCCCAGAACTTTCCAAACCGAAGCTGAATGTCCCCTAAAGACTGAGGCAGCTTCTATTATTATAAAGTGCCTGTAGAAAGGATTACATCCTTCCAGTTCTCTGGCTTTGTAATTAGAATTTATGAGCATTAGTTTATTAATGTTGGTACAGTGGTACCTTGGGTTAAGAACTTAATTCGTTCTGGAGGTCCGTTCTTAACCTGAAACTGTTCTTAACCTGAGGTACCAATTTAGCTAATGCGGCCTCCCGCTGCTGCTGCGCCATCGCTGTGCAATATCTGTTCTCATCCTGAAGCAAAGTTCTTAAGCCAAATTACTATTTCTGGGTTAGCGGAGTCTGTAACCTGAAGCATCTGTAACCTGAGGTACCACAGTATTTGTAATTTATAAAAGGTATGCTATCTGTGTAAATGTCTCCCACCCTAATTAAATCTGCCTTTCTTTGAACAGCCCTGAGACCTCCGGGTATAGGGCGGCATATAAATTCAATCAATTCTTATTATTATTATTTCTGCATTGTTCTCCTTAAAGAGCTGCTCCCTGCATTGAAGTGCATGGTGGCAACAGCTGAGAGAGTCCTGGAAGTGGCCCTGTTTCCGCCTCCTCCTCCTCCTCCTCCTCCGTCCTTTCCACTGGCAGCGCAATGGCCTCTGAGACCCCCTCTGAACGGCCTCTTCTCAGAGGTGGAGTGGAAAGAGGAGCCAGGCAGCTTCCTCAGGTAGCGAAAGAGCAACGGGAAATCAGGGAGGAGGGAAGAGGCACAGCTGGGACCACCCAGCCTCCCTCTGTGTTGAGTGGGGATGATGGGGATCTAAGAGAAGCTCTGTCTTCTTCCTCTTCTTCTTCCAGGCCCTCTTGACCTTTGAGGAGGTGGCTGTCTTTTTCACGGAGGAGGAGTGGGCTCTGCTGGATCCAGGCCAAAGAGCTCTGCACAAGGAAGTCATGGAGGAGAATTATGAGATGGTGGCCTCTCTAGGTAAGGGCAGATTTGTATCCCTCTTGGCTGCTAGACATTGAAAGAGTAAATCTCCTATTTGAGCCATTTATTCATTCCGTGTCTTCTTCTTTGGCAAAACCTCGTAGACGAATAAGATTGTCTTCCATGAACACGGTCTTAATGGTGTGTCCATAAGTGACTGTGGAGTCCAATTCTGGATCCACACATCCTTCAGCAATGGGGACATAGATTTCCCAGAGGGAGTTAATCACAGTGAGGGTTTGCCAAACGTGCTTTCCTCTTAGCTTGTTTCTCCTTTTCGTCTTGAGCTTGTGCTTCTTCAAAGTCCATTACGCCTTGGTAAAGGCCTTTCTCCAATTGGAGCACTCGCACGCCAGTGTTTTCCAATTTTCTGTGCTTCTACTTCATGTATTTAGATTTGCCTTCAGAACATTTTGAAACCTCTTTTGTTGTCCATCGATATTTCCCTTTCCATTCTTAAGTTGGGAATAGAGTAGTTGCTTTGGATGACAATAATCAGGCATCTGAACAACATGACCAGTCCAACGAAGTTGATGTTGAAGATTGTAGTTTATAGCAACTCTGTACTTTTGTCAGTAGGTAACTTTTCGTAAGCTGAAATTGTGGTATGAATTTCCCCCTAAAACCTATGTAAAATCTACAGGGAGACTGACAGGTTAATAATGGTGGCATGAGGTTTGCTGGTCAGTGTCATTTATCAACTTTTAATGGGCCACCAGATACTTTGCTGTCTTTGCTTCAAAAGATTAATACTTTTGTATATTTTTATAGTCACATATACATAAACAACACTTCTGTTTTACTTATTCCACATAGCAGGGACTCTGATACTCAAGTCTGAGCTCATCTCCTCGCTTGGAACAGAAAAATACAGGGATGTTGTCCTGGACCAATTCAGAGGTACATACTTCCACTTTGCTGTGAGGCTGTACTTTTGTATGTCTCCTTTCAGTGTGTACAAATATAAAAAGAGCCCTTTTGGATCAGAACAAGGGCCAATCTTTGACAGCATCCTGGTGCAGGTTTAGGTGATGTGTACAGCTGGTTGGAATGTATCAGCAAGATCTTACAGATCAAGGAGGAAAGAAAAAACAGTATAGCATTTTCACAGGAGGGGGAAGATGGAGAAAGGTGTCCCTCCAGATTTGGCTGCACTACAACTCCCATCATCACTGGTCATTGGCCATCTTTGCTTGGGCTGATGGTACTTAGAGTCCAACCACATCTGGAGGGCCATACATGCCTCACCTCAGCACAGAAGTTTTCTCTTGGTGCTCAGTGGGAGTTGAAGGTTCAGGTAGGTAGCCATGTTGGTCTGACGCAGACGAAATATATATTAAATTTTTTAAAAAAATTGTCCAGTAGTACCTTAGAGACCAACTAAGTTTGTTCTTGGTATGGGAATTGAATACAAGATACTAGAATACTGGATACTAAGGGTTCTTGAGACTATTTTCAGGTTCCCCCCCCCCTTTCCTAAAAGTGTGGTACATAGGAGAGGGAGGGATGCTGGAGGTGTTAAAAGAAGGAAAAGTGCTGATTGGTCTTGTTGCGTGTTAAGTTCTCTTGCTCGAATACCTAACAATATTTTCTTATCCCTCACTTTAAACCAGGTGATGAAGAAGGCAATCAGAATTTTGAGGGGCCATCTGTAAAGTACTTAAGTGTGAGTGAACACCTTAACACACATCTACAAACTAATACAGGAGAGAAACCTTTTAAATGCATGGAGTGCGGAAAGAGCTTCAGTAAAAATGGAAACCTTACTGTACATAAACAAATTCACACAGGGAACAAACCATTTAGATGTATGGAGTGTGGAAAGAGCTTCAGCCTGTGTTCACACCTTACTATACATCTACGAACTCACACAGGGGAGAAACCTTTTAAATGTATGGAGTGCGGAAAGAGCTTCAGTGAGAGTGGAAAACTTACTGTACATCAACGAACTCACACCGGGGAGAAACCCTTTAATTGTATGGAGTGCGGAAAGAGCTTTAGTGCAAGTGGAACTCTTAGAAGACATCAGCGGATTCACACTGGGGAGAAACCATTTAAATGTATGCAGTGTGGGAAGGGCTTCAGTCAGAGTGGAATCCTTTCTAGACATCAACGAACTCACACGGGTGAGAAACCACATAGGTGTATGGTTTGTGGAAAGTGCTTCAGTGCAAGTGGAAGCCTTACTCTGCATCAGGGTACTCATACAGGAGAGAAACCATATAAATGTTTGGAGTGTGGAAAGAGCTTCATTTGTAGTGGGAGACTCACTGTGCACCAACAAAGTCACACTGGGGAGAAACCATTTAAATGTATTTGTGGGAAGGGTTTCAGTCAGAGTGGAGCTCTTGCAGTACATCAACGAACTCATACAGGGCAGAAACCATTTAGGTGTATGGAGTGTGGAAAGAACTTCAGACTGTCTTCACACCTTACTACACATCACCGAACTCACACAGGGGAGAAACCTTTTAAGTGTATGGAGTGCGGAAAGAGCTTCAGTGAGAGTGGAACTCTTAGAATACATCAACGGATTCACACTGGGGAGAAACCATTTAAATGTATAGAGTGTGGACAGAGCTTCAGTCACAATGGAACACTTACTAAACATCAACGAACTCACACGGGTGAGAAACCATATAAGTGTATGGTTTGTGGAAAGAGCTTCAGTCAGGGGGGAGATCTTGCAACACATGTACGAACTCACACTGGTGAGTTACCATTTAAATGTATGAGGTGTGGGAAGGGCTTCAGTCGTAGTGGAAATCTTAGAATACATCAACGAACTCACTCAGGGGAGAAACCATTTAGATGTATGGAGTGTGGAAAGAGATTCAGTTGTAGTGGAAATCTTAGAATTCATCAACGAACTCACACAGGGGAGAAACCATTTAAATGTAAGGAGTGTGGAAAGAGCTTCAGACGATGTTCACAAATTACTATACATTGGAGAACTCACACAGGGGAGAAACCGTATATGTGTACGGATTGTGGGAGGTGCTTCAGTGAGAATGGATCTCTTAGAAGACATCAACAAACTCATACAGGGGAGAAAACATTTAAATGTATGGATTGTGGGAAGTGCTTCAATGGGAATGGAAGTCTTAGAAGACATCAAAGATCTCACAGAGAAGCAACTGTTTAAATGGAATGGAGTGTGGAAAATATTTCAATTATAATGGCCTTCTTAATAAGCAACCACAGACTGCTATGGGGGAGAAACCATTTCGGTTTTTTGGAGTTTGCCATGTTTTTCCCACAGGGTTCACTTTGTCCCTCATATCAGCAAACTCATATAAGGGGGAAATTCATTGTAAATTTATGGAGTGTATTTTATGTTCTGGTGTTTGTATGGAAAGCTGTACATACATGTATTAAAGCAAATAAAATGTCTCATAATAGTAAGTATGATGAAAGATATAATGTACTGTAAGGTATGTGCAGAACGTGACTCTGCAGTGCTCATTGTGAGTGAACATGTCCTGAGACTCGGTTGATATTTGGTCTTTGGCAGAGAAAGTTAGGAATGGAGAATTGTGAAAAGTGGAGTACAAAAGTGGTGTTTAGGAAGCAGGATCGGCTCTGGAATCCTAGAACTGTAGAGTTTAAAGGGACTCCAAGGGTCAAGTCCAACTCCTTGTTATAAGAACAGCAGCATAAATCACATTTTTATACTTGCAATAAAGGAATAATGAAAACACAGAAAGACTGGAAAGTAATCCTTAAACTATCCTACGTTGTTTGTATTTTATAAATTCATTGTTTTACCTTACCTTCTCATTCATGGCTTCATTAACACCAAAGGGGGTAAAATCCCAAATGGCAGCTAGAATAAAGGAGGTGCTGAGGGGAACAACCAACATGGGGAGGGAAGGTGGCACAGGGAAATGTGGGCATTGCCAGTGGTTTCAGGAGCGTCATTTTCCTGTGGAGAGAGGAATCTCTGTGCCCACGTAATTGGCCCATCTTTCAGAAATCTGTAGAAAGAGCTGTCAGTATAGGAGGCCGAAAGCAGAGCTCATCTGGAGCAGGGGTCCTCAAACTTTTTAAACAGGGAGCCGGTTCACTGTTCCTCAGCCACTGTTGCGGGCTGGATTATAATTTGAAAAAAAATAATGAATGAATTCCTATGCACACTGCACATATTTTATTTGTAGTGCACACAAAACCAGGAAAAACAATACAATATTTAAAATGAAAAATGATTTTAATCAACGTCAACTTAGAAGTATTCCAATGGGAAGTATGGACCTGGTTTTGGCTAACGAGATGCTCAATATCCGGTTCCATATTTGTCGCTGCTAGTCGTAGCAAGTGATGCAAGTGTTCATCAGTTAGTCTGGATCTGGTTGGAGATTTCAGATGTTTCATTCGGGGGGAAATCTGTTCACAGACATAGGTGCTGCCAAAGATGGTTGCAATTTTGAGTGCATGGCTCCTGGGATTTAAGATATGTCTCAGAGGGGAGAGATGCATTGAAATTAGTGAGGCTGCTTGATTTGAATGCGTTTTTCATAGAGTCACAGTTCTGTAGTTCGGCCATTTCCATTTGGGAAATCGGATCAACAATTTCAATGTCTACAGAAAATGGGTTCCGGGAAAGCTGTATGCCCTGTTCATGGAGGTGAAGCTCTAATTTGAAACTCCTTTTGCAACATTTCTAGTAAATCCACACGTTTTGTTTGGGAATGCAACTGCTGGTTTTTCCGCCAACAGGTTTTGAGTTGTGGGGAGATGGCAGAAGTTTTCCTCCTTCAGTTGAGGAGGTCTAATTTTACTTGAAATGCTTTCACATGTGAAAACGTATCACAGATGCGCTTCCCCTTTCCTTGAAGTTGAACATTGGAGCTGTTGAGTAGCTCTGTTACATCTGTCAGAAAGGCAAGGTGCCATTTCCATTCAGCATCTTTGAGCTTGGGGTGAGCTCCCGTTGCTCGGTCCCTGCTCCTGCCCACCTAGCAGTTCAAAAGCACACCAGTGAAAGTAGATAAATAGGTACCACTCCGGCGGGAAGGTAAACAGCGTTTCCGTGCGCTGCTCTGGTTTGCCAGAAGCGGCTTTGTCCTGCTGGCCACATGACCCGGAAGCTGTACGCCGGCTCCCTCAGCCAATAAAGTGAGATAAGCGCTGCAACCCCAGAGTCGGCCACGACTGGACCTAATGGTCAGGGGTCCCTTTACCTTTACCTTTTCTTCTTTGTTTTTTGAAAGCATAAAAGCAGAAACCTGTGGAAGTAAGTCATTAAAATGTTTCAAAACTCTCCCTAGATCCATGAAGAAATAAAGAAAATACTAAGAATATCATATAGTAAAAGGCCAGAGGCATTCCTTTTAGGAATTTTAAATGATGATATTCCAAAAGACAAAACTAATTTTTTCTTATACGCAACGTCTGCAGCAAGAATCCTGGTGGCTAGGTATTGGAATGGGAATCAGTTACCTACTAGGGGAGAGTGGTTATGTAAGCTTTCAGAATATTTAGAATTAGCCAAATTGACAGATATAATAAGACAAAAACCAAAAAGTGAAGTGAAAAAGGAACGGGAGTGTCTAAATGAATACCTTAAAAGTCAAGGTTCGAGGACAGAAATCTGGCTGAGTCTGGAATAACCTTGTGAAGTGAAAGGATAAGAAAGGGATTTATATCTAGATGCTAGGATAGAGATGATCAGGAAAACAGGAAGATACAATGAAAGATAAAGGAGGTGCTGTGGGATTGGTGGAAGTCAATGTTTGTTTTCTTTTTAGTGTTTATACTATTAACTTGTAATATATAGATTTGTTTTTTGTTTTGTTTTTTTGAATGTTGGTTTTTGTGTATTGTTATTCAATATTTTTCGTGTTGTGTGGAAAATACTAATAAAATTTATTTTAAAAATTTTTAAAAGAATATCTTCATAGGCAACATTTAGTTCAGACAGAAATTCCTGAAACTGTCTGTGGTTAAGAAGAAGAAGAGTTTGGATTTGATATCCCGCCTTTCACTCCGTTTAAGGAGTCTCAAAGCGGCTAACATTCTCCATTCCCTTCCTCCCCCACAACAAACATTCTGTGAGGTGAGTGGGGCTGAGAGACTTCAAAGAAGTGTGACTAGCCCAAGGTCACCCAGCAGCTGCATGTGGAGGAGCGGAGACGCGAACCCGGTTCCCCAGATTACGAGACTACCGCTCTTAACCACTACACCACACTGGCTCTCAGTGCATGAAGTTGATTTATTCCCCTCGGCTGGATCCTAGGCTTGCTTTTACTCCAAGTATTTCTACCACGTTCAGCAGGACTTCCAGCTAGGTGCGCACAGGACTGCAGCTGTAATCTTTTTTCACTGCACAGGGTAGGAGGTTAACAAGCTGTCCACTTTGCAGAGGAGAGGAGAGGGGCATGTTTGTAGTTTTCTTACACTTGAGGGGCATTTTATTTTATTTTACCCTACAGAGAAGTGACCCTCTTTATGCACCAGTACGGAAAGATCAGCCTGACGTTTCAACGCATCACGAGTACAACCCCATGCGCACGTACATGGGAGCACCTCCCCCTGAACTCCGTGGCACTTAACTTGAACAAAAGCGGGCTGCCGATTTTTATTTTTATTTAAATGGTGGGGAACATGAGAAGGCGCCGGTGTAAAAGAGGCATTAGACGGGGGGGGGATGAGGGGTGGAGAGAGAGAAGCGGACACAAAACGGAAGAAGGGAAAGGCGTCGGGTACTGGAAGAGAGGAAACGCTTCAGGGAAAGAAGGTGGAAAGGAACATTAACTGAGGGAAAGCAGGAGGGGTGGCCAGCCCAGGGAGAGGAGGAACAAGCGCAGCTCGCGCAAACCCACACAGAACGCGCAGAGGGAGCCCCTGTCGCTTTCCGTGGTGCAGAAGTCTCTTCCTTTGGCAGCCCGAGACACCAAGCTGGCTGTGTGGATATTTTCACCCCCTCCCATTGCGAGAATCTCCTGATACGATGTTTTCTGAAAGGTGGGGCGGAAACTGGTCTTCACTTCTTCCGCTCCTGCCTGACTCTGTGTGTTATCTCTGTAGTGATTAGATGGCTGAGTGAGAGCTGTAACACTCATGCAAGCCAGTACCTCTTTAGTTTTAGTTTGCAGTAGCTATTAGAAATAAAAGAAGTGTTTTTTAAAAAATATTTTATTAAGGATTTTCTTGTTTTACAGAAGAAAGCATAATGCCTTGTTGTTGTTTTTCATGTAACATTTTTACAAATCCATTTCATTTGTTGAGACATTAGGGGGAGAAGAAGAAAAAAAAGAGGGGAAAGGGGGAGAAATAAAAGAAGTTATGCTTCAAAGCTTCCTTCCATGTTGTTCATACTCTGCTGAGTTTGGTGCTCACAACTCACAGTTGTGGGTCCAGTGCACTTGGACCCGCTTTGCAGGAGTGGAAGGTCTCTGGAAGTGCTCTCCAGTCGCCTAGCCCAGTTGGGGCAGAACCAGTTGTTGAGCCCAGTCATTGGCATCAGCTCAAAGTCGTACTGACAGGCTGCAGAGCTGTGGGGCGGACCAGGGGTTGGGGTGGGCAAGCTGGCTCCCCTGGCTTGTGGTGGAGCTTCTCCTCCCGTGGCACCTGTGGCGCCTTTGCAGCCGCTCTGTTCACAGGAGGAGCTGCTGCTGCTGCTCCCCTCACTTTCTGCCCACTCAGTCAGTCCCTGCTGTGGCGTTCGGAGCCCCCGTCTCACGGACTATTGACTCGTACACCACTAATCCGCTGCCACCAACCAGGTCTTCCCCAGTAAATCACTTAGTCTCATTCAGGTTCTTAAGTTAACAAAGAAGAGTGTCGTTTATTGCAAACACAAATAAACTTTAACTGCATTCCAAACGCTGTTATTCTTTACCTTCTTAGTCTTATTTTATCCTGTCTCTAACTCTTCTACCTCCCCTCACACAAGAACCAACTGCATTTAACTGTCTCTCTATTTCCAACTGTCTGCCAACTGCTTTCCCAACTGCCTTTCCCAACCAACCAACCAACTAACTCAAACTCAAACCTGGGGCTAAGCCCTTTTATAAACAGGTAGGCTCCGCCTCTGGCTGTTCTATTGGTCTACATATTAACCCTTTCTCTCCCCCTGTACAGGCATTTTCAAATGAATGGACAAATGCCGCATCCGCACTTGAGGTAAACCCAGTACAGTGGCTTCACGGCGGGGTTCTGCAATGGACGGGCAGGCTGGATCTAGGACCATGGCGGACTGGATGCAACCCGTGGGCTGTAGTTTGAGGACCGCTGATCTGGAGCTTCTCCCTCTGCCCATGACCTGAAGCAGCCACAGCAGGTGCTGCAAGCTGCCAACTGTTGGACTTCACCCCCAAAGGCCCCCTTCTCCTGAGCAGACAGGTGCCAACCAGGGTCTCTTTACCTGCCGAGGACTGCACCTGCAACCTTCTCCTGCATGCAAAGAATTGAATTCAAGACCTTTTTTTGAAAAAACAACATTCATTTATTCAAAGTAAATACAGCTTTGTCCACTGCCATAATATCACAGAATGACCACTCCAATCCTCAATCTCACATCACGGTCATTTTGGCTCCCCCAATACCCTCAGTAGGAACCCAACTACCAATTTGCTTGGTTAGACATTACCAGTCATTATAATCTCCTCCACAAATACCTCCATGATAATGATTAAAGGTAAAGGGACCCCTGACTGTTAGGCCCAGTTGTGGACGACTCTGGGGTTGTGGCGCGCATCTTGCTTTATTGGCCGAGGGAGCCGGTGTACAGCTTCCAGGTCATGTGGCCAGCATGACTAAGCCGCTTCTGGCATACCGGAGCAGCACACAGAAACACCGTTTACCTTCCCGCCGGAGCGGTACCTATTTATCTACTTGCACTTTGATGTGCTTTCGACCTGCTAGGTTGGCAAGAGCAATGGGAGCTCACCCCATCGTAGGGATTCGAACTGCCGACCTTCTGATCGGCAGGCCCTAGGCTCCTATGTTTAACCCACAGCGCCACCCGCATCCCATGTTAATGAATATCATGGCATTAAAATATCCTGTTCTTCAAGCAAAGGAGAGAAAGGGAGATTGTGTCAAAAGCATCTTTTTTTGGAGAAACCTTAAATTAGACACTGGTTGTATACGAGGCCTTCTGATAGAGCATGTACGCCCAACGCATCAATCTCATCGTTCGCACGATGGATATTAGGGTTGCAGGTGCCTCAGGCACCCCGCTCCGGCCACTGGCATTGCCCAACGCCCAGTCAGCTGGCTGCCAAGGAAAGGTATGAGGCGCTTGCCTCCACCACAAGCCTCAGCCCATGGCGGGCAGGCGAAGATGAGGCCCGTGGGCTCCTTTTGGGCTTCAGCTGCGGAGGGTACGCAAGAGAGACAATGACATCCCTCCTCCCTCTCCTGCCAGTTCCCATGGGGGAAAAACCACTCTCCCTTCTAGTTCTGTGTGGATGCTGAACTTTCCCAATCAGAAGCTGCAGGAGCCCCTTCGGACGTTCAGGTTCCAAAACAACGTTCGCAAACGGAACAGTCACTTCCGAGTTTGCGGCGTTCGGAAACAAAACGTCCGAGTTCCAGGGCATTCGGGATCCATGGTATGACTGTACAGTCATACCTCGGGTTACAGACGCTAAATCACGCTTTGCGCATGCGCAGAAGCGCCGAATCGCATCCCGCGCATGCAGACGCACCGTTGCAGGTTGCGAACGCTGCGGGTTGCAAACATGCATCCCGCACGGATCACGTTCGCAACCCAAGTGGACATGGGATATTATACAATAATAGCACATCTTCCATTCTTTTACTAAACTACTTATGGCATTCTAGCACTTTGGGAGAAACGTTCTCTCAATAAACGTCTATGTTCTGCACTTGGCAGGAAGGTCCCATAATGATTGAGATGTGAATTTTGTTTTGTTCTGCCTTTGTTGTGTTCTCAAGTGTCAAAGTTATCTCTCTTCTGGTCCTTCGACATACCACAGCAACCACCCCTCAAAAGACATTCCTGGTGTTAGGGCTTTCACTGAATGACCATGAGCAATATCCCAGGCAGCTAGGGGGTGACACTTCCTGGAGAGAAATGCCCCATCTTGCCCATCTTTGGGGGTTTGGCTTTGGTCCTGCGGTCAAGGGTCTTGTTGCTCACTTGTTATTAAAGTTGTCTTTCGCTACCGCTGCAGGAAATCGAACCCATGAATTTCTCACTAAATAAACGGGAATATAGAGCTTGCCGGCTGGGAAGTGAATTTCTGTTTTGCAAGGAGGGGGAGGCGGATCTCCTGCCGCTCCCCCTTCCTCTGGGTCAATGAGCTGGGCTTCCTAGAGAGGCAGGAAGGGGGGTTTTATGGGAGGGGAGGCTATTTGGAGGAGAGGGGTCTCCATCCTCATTCCAGGAAGAGAAGCGGACTTGGAGAAGAGGAAAAAGAGGTGTCGCATATTTGGGGGTTATTTGGGGAGGGGGGGTGGGAGAAGGATTTGCTTTCCCTCTGCCTGAATCGACAAACAGGGCAGCTGGGAAAGGAGGCGGGAGGATTGCGGGGGGGGGTGCAAAGAAAGCAGGGAGGGGGCCTGCCCTTTCTCTGTAGAAATCATGGAGGGGGGGCTGGATGCAGGCCATCCTGTTGCAAAGTGGGGTCTCCCTCCCCCAACAGGGTTTGCATTGCAAGATCCTTTTCGAAGCGCAGAGATCAAGCCAGGCTCCCATGGTGGAGGGGGAGGGGGGCGAAGACACTTGAGACGATCCACACAAGGGTGAACCCCCGCCCCCAGTGGAACTTAATTACAAAGGGATTTGCAGCCCCACCCTGTGCATGTTGACTCAGAAGTCAGTCCTTCTCCGTTCAAAGGGGGGGGCAGCCCCATTCCACCTAGTGATGCTCCTCTCTGCTTAACACCCTCCATCTCCTTTCTCACTCCTGCCCCCCCCCCCATCGCTTCCCCCAGGCTCTGCCTCCTGCGACAGAGGAGGGGTGAGCTCCTCCAGGACCCTGACCTGCCCCCCTCCGAAATCTGCTGCTGAGGCCCCTGCCTCAGTGGGTCGGAGATCGTGAGGGCAAGCAGGGGAGAGGAAGTCTGTTTTGATGCAGCTGGAGAGAGGGAGATTTCGAGTGGGGGGGGGGTGAGAGATGGACAGTGTCACGGGAAATCGGCCTCCGGGTGGGAGATCTGGCCTGTCTTGCAGGATTGGCCCAGCGCAGAGGGGCTGAGGGACTTTCTCTGCCGGTGCTGCCAGCCTCGCTCCCGCCTGGCCTCATCCCCATCCAGGTTGCCAGGAGGGTCTTCTGACACTAAAGGTCTTCTAAAGCCCACCACCTGGGCAATGCTCACACCAGAACCCTGCAAGGTGGGCCAGGATGACAGCCAGATTGATGGGCAGGGCCAGAAGACAGAGTTGGTCGTGCTATGGGGCTGACTCTGAGCTTTGTCCAGGAGCTGCCTGCCTTCCAGGGATTTTTTCCAGCCACACAAAAATACCTCAGGAGGCAGCTGGGAAGCATTGGAAAGAGGGTGTGGCGCTGGGGAAGTTCCTGAGGGCCAGAGAGAGAGAGAGAGAGAGAGAGAGAGAGAGAAAGGACTTGAGGACCAATTTAGCCTACTTTGGTCTGAGGTTCCCCACCCTGCAGTTCGGGTGCTGGGCTTAGACCAGGGAGACCCAATCTCCCATCCCCATGCTCAGGAGGGATGCCCTGTGCCCGTTTTGGACCCTCTGATTATTTCTCCTCCTGTCCTTCCTCCCAGTGTAGGGAAGATAAAAGGGGACACACACACACACACACACACACACACACACAGGTTCCTAAGAGGAAGGACTAGGGGGCCATAAGCCACTGAACTTCATATCTCTGTCCCCTAAACTACAGTCCATGTTAGCGCATAGAGTGCTCTAAATATTTCCATCTGCTCCCCTTGGATGGAGCTTCTGCACCCTGGTGCCCCCCAGGTGTTGCTTTTCTTCTGACTGCAAATTCTGCCCATAATTTAGGAATTTCCTTTATTTCCTTTATTCTAAATGTATCAAAGGGTCAGAAACAGGTTTCCTGGATGGCTGTTTGGAGGAAAGGAAAAGCGAGGTCTTCAGAGGTACTGACCGTAATGCTTTCTGCGAAGCTTCATTCAGAGTTTGGGATTTGATCCTAGAAGTTTACAAACCGAAGCTGAATGTTCCCTAAAAACTCATGCAGCTTATAGTATTATAAAGTTCCTGTAGAAAGAATTACATCTTTTCCAGTTCACTGCCTGCACTCCCTTGAAGGGAACCACAGGAGAGCTGGTCCCTATTATGATAATCTCAAGTGTTCCAAAGCTTTCCAGCAATGAGTTGATAAGCAGCTACTAAAACAAAGGGAATGAATCCCTGATATCTCAAATCAGCATTTTCATCTATAAAAATGGTTAACATTCCCAAAGTTGGGGTACATAGTACATTTGGTTTTCACTAACACTTCCTATATTTTTCATAATATGTGTTTGGATTTTGTATTTGTTATAGAATTTATGAGTATTACTTTATTAATATTGGTAATTATAATTTTTTTTAAAAAAAAATAATTTTTATTGGTTTTTACACATATTTTCCAGCATTTTGCATTTTATTACTATACTTTTTGCCATAAGTCCAAATCCTACATCAACTATTCTTAATCCTTTTCGCAATAATTTGTAAAATTCCTTACAAAACTTCTTGTAACCCTACAAGTGATGTTAATTGGTTACAATTGTCTTTCAGATACATCATGAATTTCTTCCAGTCCTTCAGGAAAGTCTGGTCCTGCTGATTCCAAAGTTTCCCTGTTAGTCTCGCCAACTCAGCATAGTCCATCAATTTCATTTGCCACTCTTCTTTTGTTGGCATTTCCTCCTGATTCCATCGTTGGGCTAATAGTATTCTTGCTGCAGTGGTCGCATATAAAAACAAGTTTTTATCATTCTTATGAATTTCTGTACCTACAATATCAGGTAATAGAGCTTCTGGCTTTTTTGCAAATGTACATTTTTAAAAAATTTCATTGTAAATCATTTCCCAGAAGTGTTTTACTTTTTACCTTCCCACCACATATTGTAAAACGTACCCTCTTTTCCCTTACATTTCCAACATTTATTATTATTTGTGTGGGGCTTTTTTGTACATCTTAGCTAGTTTCACTGGTGTTATATACCATCTGTACATCAGGTATTTGTAATTTCTAAAAGGTATGCTATCTGTGTAAATGTCTCCCACCCAAAATAAACCCGCCTTTCTGTGAACCGCCCTGAGACCTCCAGTTATAGGGTGGAATATAAATTCAATAGATTGCTGTTGTTGCTGTTGTTGTTGTTATCATCATCATCATTTCTGCATTGTTCTCCGTAAAGAGCTGCTCCCTACATTGAGTGCATCGTGGCAACAGCTGAGAGAGTCCCAGAAGTGGCCCAGTTTACGCCTCCTCCTCCTCCTCCGTCCTTTCCACTGCCAGCGCAATGGCCTCTGAGTCCCCCTCTGAACGGCCTCTTCTTAAAGGTGGAGTGGAAAGAGGAGTCAGGCAGCTTCCTCAGGTAGGGAAAGAGCAACGGGAGGAGGGAAGAGGCACAGATGGGACCACCCAGCCTCCCTCTGTGTTGAGTGGGGATGATGGGGATCTAAGAGAAGCTGTCTTCTTCCTCTTCTTCTTCCAGGCCTTCTTGACCTTTGAGGAGGTGGCTGTGTTTTTCACGGAGGAGGAGTGGGCTCTGCTGGATCCTGGCCAACGAGCTCTGCACAAGGAAGTCATGGAGGAGAATTATGAGATGGTGGCCTCTCTAGGTAAGGGCAGATTTTTATTCCTCCTGGCTGTTAGACGTTGAAGGTGTGAATCTGCTGTTTGAGCCATTTATTCATGTTGTGTCTTCTTCTTTGGCAACCCCTCGTAGCCGAGTAAGATTGTCTTCCATGAACACGGTCTTAACGGTGTGTCCGTAAGTGACTATAGAGGCCAATTCTAGATCCACACATCCTTCGGCAGTAGGGACATAGGTTAATTACGGTCAGCCTTTGCCAAACGTGCTTTCATCTTTGCTTGTTTCTCCCTCTTCTCCTGTGTTTGTCTTTCTTCAAAATCCATGAAGCCTTTGGTAAAGGCTATTATCCAATTGGAGCACTTACAGGCCAGTGTTTCCCAGTTGTCAGTGTTTATACTACATTTTTTTAGATTTGCCTTGAGACAGTCTTTAAACCTCTTTTGTGGACCACCAGCATTACGCTTTCCATTTCTAAGTTCGGAATAGAGTAGTTGCTTTGGAAGACAATCATCAGGCATCCGCACAACACGACCACTCCAACGAAGTTGATGTTGAAGAATCATTGCTTCAACACTGGTAATCTTTGCTTCTTCTAGTACACTGATATTAGTCCGCCTATCTTCCCAATTTTTCGGAGACACCGTTGATGGAATCTTTCAATGAGTTGGAGATGGTGTTTATAAGTGGTCCATGTTTCACAAGCATATAGTAAGGTTGGTAGTAAAATAGCTTTGTAAACAAGCATTTTGGTTTCTCTGCGAATGTCCCGGTCCTCTAACACTCTGCCCTTCAACTGGAAGAAAGCTGCACTCGCAGAGCTCAGGCGATGCTGGGTTTCAGCATCAATGTTGGCCCTTGTGGAAAGATAACTGCCTAGGTAGGAGAAGTGATCAACATTTTCCAATGTTACACCACTGAGTTGGATTTGTGGTGTTGCAGAGTGGTTATTTTCTACTTGTTGGTGCAGGTGGTTTTTTGGATATTGAGTGATAGGCCAAGCTTTTCGTAAGCTTCTGCAAAGATATTTAGGATGGTTTGGAGGTCATCCTCTGAGCGTGCGCACACTACGTTGTCATCAGCATACTGAAGCTCTATGACAAAAGTTACGGTAACCTTACTCTTTGTTTTCAACCTGCTCAGATTGAAGAGCTTTCCATCTGTTTGATGTATGATTTCTACTCCAGTGAGGATTTTCCCTTTGACAAAGTGTAGGATCCTGGCAATGAAAATAATGAATAGAGTTGTGGCAATAACACAACCCTGTTTAATACCTGATCCTACTGTGATCAACATCTTTATCAACGACTTGGATGATGGACTCAAGGGCATCCTGATCAAATTTGCAGATGACACCAAATTGGGAGGGGTGGCTAACACCCCAGAGGACAGGATCACACTTCAAAACGACCTTGACAGATTAGAGAACTGGGCCAAAACAAACAAGATGAATTTTAACAGGGAGAAATGTAAAGTATTGCACTTGGGCAAAATGAGAGGCACAAATACAAGATGGGTGACACCTGGCTTGAGAGCAGTACATGTGAAAAGGATCTAGGAGTCTTGGTTGACCACAAACTTGACATGAGCCAACAGTGTGACGCGGCAGCTAAAAAAGCCAATGCAATTCTGGGCTGCATCAATAGGAGTATAGCGTCTAGATCAAGGGAAGTAATAGTGCCACTGTATTCTGCTCTGGTCAGACCTCTCCTGGAGTACTGTGTCCAGTTCTGGGCACCACAGTTCAAGAAGGACATTGACAAACTGGAACGTGTCCAGAGGAGGGCAACCAAAATGGTCAAAGGCCTGGAAACGATGCCTTATGAGGAACGGCTAAGGAGCTGGGCATGTTTAGCCTGGAGAAGAGGAGGTTAAGGGGTGATATGATAGCCATGTTCAAATATATAAAAGGATGTCACATAGAGGAGGGAGAAAGGTTGTTTTCTGCTGCTCCAGAGAAGCGGACACGGAGCAATGGATCCAAACTACAAGAAAGAAGATTCCACCTAAACATTAGGAAGAACTTCCTGACAGTAAGAGCTGTTCGACAGTGGAATTTGCTGCCAAGGAGTGTGGTGGAGTCTCCTTCTTTGGAGGTCTTTAAGCAGAGGCTTGACAACCATATGTCAGGAGTGCTCTGATGGTGTTTCCTGCTTGGCAGGGGGTTGGACTCGATGGCCCTTGTGGTCTCTTCCAACTCTATGATTCTATGATTCTATGAATGGTTCACTTTGAGAGCCATTGTTATCTGTGATTGTTGCTGTCATATTATCATGGAGGAGCCGGATGATGTTCACAAATTTATCTGGGCAGCCAATTTTCAGAATGACAGTCCACAGGGCATTACGATTTACAGTGTCGAAAGCCTTAGTCAGGTCAATAAACACTATATACAGGGGTTGGTTTTGCTCTCTGCAGAGACTCATAGGATAATAATGATGGCATGAGGTTTACTGGTCCATGTCATAGTTTTTAATGGGCCCCCAGATACTTTGCTGTTTACTTCACAAGATTAATATTTTTGAATATTTGTACAGTTACATGTGACATAAACAACATTTCTATTTTACTTATTCCACATAGCAGGGACTCTGATACTCAAGTCTGAGCTCATCTCGTCGTTTGGAACAGAAAAATACAGTGATGTTGTCCTGGAGAAATTGCGAGGTACATGCTTCCACTTGGCTGTGAGATTGTAACTTTCAATGTCTCCTTTCATGTGTAGGAATATTAAAAAAGCTGTTTTGGATCAGAACGAGGGCCCATCTTTTCCAGCATCCTGGTGCAGGTTACAGATCAAGGAGGATGGAGAAAACTGAATACAGAGGTGCAGCATTTTCACAGGAGGGGGAAAGTGTCTCTCTCTGGATGTGGCTGCACTACAACTCCCATCATCCCTGGTCATTGGCCATCTTTGCTTGGGTTGATGGTACTTAGAGTCCAACCACATCTTGAGGGCCACAGATGCCTCATCTCAGCATAGAAGGTTCTCTTGGTGCTCAGTGTTACATGGGAGTTGAAGGTAGAACTGGATACTAGGGGTTATTGAGGCTATTTTCAGATTACCTTTCCTATAAATTTGGTACATAGGAGAGAAAGGAATCCAGGAGATGTTAAAAGAAGAGAAGGTGCTGATTAGTCTTGCTCTGTGTTGAGTTGCTTTGTTCTATTCATTGAATATCTAACAATATTTTCCTATCCCCCACTTTAAACCAGGTGATGGAGAAGGCAATCAGAATATTGAAGGGCCATCTGTAAAGTACTTCAGTGTGAGTGAACACCTTAGCACACATCTACAAACTAACACTGGGGAGAAACTCTTTAAATGTATAGAGTGTGGAAAGAGCTTCAGTGAAAGAGGAAAACTTACCGTACATCAACGAATTCACACAGGGGAGAAACCATTCGGATGTATGGAGTGTGGAAAAAGCTTCAGTGAAAGAGGGAAACTTACTGTACATCAACGAACTCATACAGGGGAGAAACCATATAAATGTATGGAGTGTGGAAAGAGCTTCAGGCGGTGTTCACATCTTACTAGACATCAACGGACTCACACAGGGGAGAAACCATATAAATGTATGGATTGTGGAAAGAGCTTCAGACAGTGTTCACACTTTACTAGACATCAACGAACTCACACAAGGGAGAAACAATTTAAATGTATGGAGTGTGGAAAGAGCTTCACCAATAGGGGAGTGCTTAGAAATCATCAACTGACTCACACAGGGGAGAAACCCTTTAAATGTATGGAGTGTGGAAAGAGCTTCAGTAAGTCTTCACAACTTACTATTCATCAACGAACTCACACAGCGGAGAAACCATTTAGATGTATGGAGTGTGGGAAGTGTTTCAGAGAAAGAGGAAACCTTACTAGACATCAACAAACTCACACAGGGGAGAAACCATTTAAATGTATGGAGTGCGGAAATAGCTTCAGTAAGTCTTCACAACTTACTATTCATCAACGAACTCACACAGGGGAGAAACCATTTAGATGTATAGAGTGTGGGAAGTGTTTCAGTCAGAGTGGAAGCCTTATTTTACATCAACGAATTCACACAGGGGAGAAACCATATAAATGTTTTGAGTGTGGGCAGAGCTTCATTTGTAGTGCGAAACTCACTGTGCACCAACGAAGTCACACAGGAGAGAAACCATTTGAATGTATGGATTGTGGGATGTGCTTCAGCCAGAGTGGAGTACTTATTGTACATCAACGTACTCACACTGGTGAGAAACCATTTAAATGTATGGAGTGTGGAAAGAGCTTCAATCACAATGGAATGCTTACTGTACATAAAAGAACTCACACAGGTGAGAAACCATTTAAATGTATGGAGTGTGGGAAGTGCTTCAGTCAGTGTTCACAGCTTACTTTGCATCAACGAAGTCACACAGGGGAGAAACCATTTAAATGTATGGAATGTGGAAAGAGCTTCAGACACGGTTCACACCTTACTTTACATCTACGAACTCATACAGGGGAGAAACCATTTAAATGTATGGAGTGTGGGAAAGTTTTCATTCAGAGTTCAGCTCTTACAACACATCTACGAATTCACACAGGGGAGAAACCATTTAGATGTATGGAGTGTGGGAAGAGCTTCAGTCGATGTTCACACCTTACTATACATCTTAGAACTCACACAGGGGAGAAACCATTTAAATGCTTGGAGTGTGGGAAGTGCTTCAGTAAGAGTGTAACTCTTAGAAAACATCAGCAAACTCACAGAGAAACAATGGTTTAAGTGGAAGGAGTGTTGAATGTGTTTCAATTATAATGGCATTATTGATTAAGACATATGGACTCTCACAGGGGAGAACCCATTTAGATGTATGGAGTGTGCCAAGTTTTTCACACAGAGTTCACTTTGTGCTTCATGTCAACAAACCTATAGAGGGAAATATCATGTAGTGTGTTTGGTGTTCTGGTGTTTGTATGGAATGTTGTACATATATGTATTAAAGCAATGGAGATAATGTCTCATAATAGTAAGTGTAATGAAAGATACAATGTACTGTATGGGATGTGCAGAATGTGACTCTGGAGTGCTCATTGAAAGTGAACATGTGCTGAGAGTCTGTTGATATTTGGTCTTTGCAGAGAGAATTGGGAATCCAGAGTTGGGAAAAATGGAGCACGACAGTGGTGTTTAGGAAGCAGGATTGGCTCTGGAATCCTAGAACTGAAGAGTTCAAGGGGAGTCCAACGATCTTCTAGTCCAACTCCCTGTTATAAGAACAGCAGCATAAAACCCATACAGTGGTACCTCGGGTTACATACACTTCAGGTTACATACGCTTCAGGTTACACACTCCGCTAACCCAGAAATAGTGCTTCAGGTTAAGAACTTTGCTTCAGGATAAGAACAGAAATCGGGCTCCAGCGGCGCGGCAGCAGCAGGAGGCCCCCTTAGCTAAAGTGGTGCTTCAGGTTAAGAGCAGTTTCAGGTTAAGAACGAACCTCCAGAACGAATTAAGTACTTAACCCGAGGTACCACTGTATATTCAAAAGTTTTGGCTGTGATATTCCTTAATTACTATCCACTCCTCCTTACCTTCTTGTGTTGAGTTTCCTCTCACTGCTCCCGTTCTCCTTGCTAATTGTAAGTACTCTATCAATTTGGCTTGCCACTCAATCTTTTTGCACTTGGGCAAAAAAAATGAGAGGCACAAATACAAGATGGGTGGCACCTGGCTTGAGAGCAGTACATGTGAAAAGGATCTAGGAGTCTTGGTTGACCACAAACTTGACATGAGCCAACAGTGTGACGCGGCAGCTAAAAAGCCAATGCAATTCTGGGCTGCATCAATAGGAGTATAGCATCTAGATCAAGGGAAGTAATAGTGCCACTGTATTCTGCTCTGGTCAGACCTCACCTGGAGTACTGTGTCCTGTTCTGGGCACCACAGTTCAAGAAGGACACTGACAAACTGGAACGTGTCCAGAGGAGGGCAACCAAAATGGTCAAAGGCCTGGAAACGATGCCTTATGAGGAATGGCTAAGGGAGCTGGGCATGTTTAGCCTGGAGAAGAGGAGGTTAAGGGGTGATATGATAGCCATGTTCAAATATATAAAAGGATGTCATATAGAGGAGGGAGAAAGGTTGTTTTCTGCTGCTCCAGAGAAGCGGACACGGAGCAATGGATCCAAACTACAAGAAAGAAGATTCCACCTAAACATTAGGAAGAACTTCCTGACAGTAAGAGCTGTTTGACAGTGGAATTTGCTGCCAAGGAGTGTGGTGGAGTCTCCTTCTTTGGAGGTCTTTAAGCAGAGGCTTGACAGCCATATGTCAGGAGTGCTCTGATGGTGTTTCCTGCTTGGCAGGGGGTTGGACTATTCCAACTCTATGATTCTATGATTCTAAGGGATGGTTTCGCTTTTCCAGTTTCTTGCTATTAGAATCCGTGTTGCAGTTGTTGCATACATGAATAATGGTCTAAACATCTTAATTTCTGCTGTCATGATACCTATTAGAAATGCCCCGGGTCTTTTAGGGAATGGGATCTTAAAACATTTTCTTTAACTCATTATAAATGATGTCCCCAAATTCTTTGATCTTTTCACATTCCCACCAAATATGCATATATGTTCCAATTCCTTTCTTACATCTCCAGCATAACTCTGACCTGTTCTTGTACATTTTGGCTAGTTTTGCTGGTGTCAAATGCCATCTATATAACATTTTCATGACGTTTTCTCTTAGGTTCATGCATACTGTAAATTTGATATCCACTCTCCACAGTTTTTCCCACTGATTCATGGATATGTTGTATCCTAAGTCTTGGGCCCAACATATCATAGATCCTTTCACTTCCTCTTCCTTTACCTCCCAATCCAGAAGGAGGTTATACATTTTTGTAATATATTTACTCTTAGATTAGAGGAGCTCCTTTTCAAATTTAGAAGTTTTATTTGCAAATCCTTTTCCTTTGTCTATAATACTAAATCTTTCCTTCAGTTGAAAGTATTGTAGCCAATCTGTTAAATATAGTCTAATTTTTCCAAATTCTTTCAGCTTTAATTTGTTGTTATTCTCTTCCAGAATCATTCTTTAACCTTGCCCAATCTCCTTGCATATTCTTTCTTTCTTTATTTTTTACAGCATGGCTTCCAGTGGGGAGGTCAACCAAGGGGGTCTTGAGTTCCAGAAGGTCTTTATATTTATTCCATATCTTATATAATGATTTACTTACTATATGATTCAAAAAACCCCTGCGGACCTTCACCTTCTTGTATATCATAGCTGCGTGCCATCCCAATGATTGTCATAGCCCTCTAGATCAAGTAGTCTTTCAAGACTATCCAATCTTGGATCCACACTAAGCTGGCTGCCGCATGATACAATTCCAAATCAGGCAAGGCAAATCCTCCTCTCTCCTTTTGGTCTATGAAAATTTGGTGTTTGATTCTTGGTTTCTTGCCATTCCAAATGAATCTTGCTATATCCTTTTTCCAATTTTTAAAGCAGTTTATACCATCCAAAATTAGGATGGTTTGGAACAAAAACATCAACTTAGGCAAAACACTCATTTTAATTACAGAAATTTTGCTCTAAAAGAAGAGATGGAGCCTACTCCAGATTTCCAGGTCCCTCTTAATCTCCTTCCATAGTTTAACATAATTATCTTGATATAGATTAATACATTTATTTGACAGCCAAATTCCCAGATATTTTACTTTTTGCTTAATTTGTAAGCCAGTAATTTCCTGTAATTCCAATTTTTCCTCTGAACTCATATTTTTAACTAATAAATTGTTTTTCTTTTTATTAATTTTGAGTCCTGCCAGTTGTCCAAATTCGTTAATTATCTCTGTTGCCAATGGGATACCTTCTTTGGGGTTTCTGATTGTCACTATCACATCATCCGCATATGCTCCTATTTTGTATGTTTTTTCTCCAATCCTGATACCTTTTATTCTTTCTTCTTTCCTCAGTTCATTCAGCAAGGTTTCCAGCACTAGTATGAATAAAAGGGGGGATAGGGGGCACCCTTGTCTTGTTCCTTTCCTAATTTCAATGCTATCTGTGATATTGCCATTGATTATTAGTTTCACTCTTTGTGAAAAGTAGATGGATTCTATACCTCTTTCAAACCTTTTTCTGCAGCCCATTAAGTTTATCTATTTTTTTCATAAAGCCCCATGAGATATTATCAAATGCCTTTTCGGTGTGTATGAGCATCATGGCTGCTTGTTTTTCATTTTTGAACTCCAGATATTCTAATATATTGATGATGTTCCTGGTATTATGTTGAATCTGGTGTTCTGGAAGGAATCCTACCTGGTTTGGAGGAATTACATCTTTTAGTACATTTTTCATGTTCCAGTACATGTTCCAGCCTCTGTATTCCTTTCCTCATCTCTTTCTTCATTTCTAATAAAATTGATGTTAAATCAGACTTTGTGTCCCCTTCTGCAACTGATCCTTTTATCTGACTTGGTGTTGTAGTTGGGCCTGGAGGTGGTTTTTCTGCCTGTATTAGCCATAGTTTTGTCCGCAACAATAGAAGCAGACACAAAAAAGCGTATCTATATATACCCTTTCCCTCCCTTCCCTACTTCCTTTCAAATATTCAGAATACAAAGTAACAAATAAAAAATAAAGTTCCAGTTATTATTTAAGATATTCAGAATAACTAAACGATTTTTAACAATTTTCAACAATTACATTTATGTATTAAGTTTCAATTGTTGATTTCTGTATAGAGAGGAGAAAAAGCAAAAGGGAGGAAGGAGAGAAAGAAAAGAAATAAAATAAGTAAAGATATATATATTGCTTTCTTTTCCCATCAATGCTTGTGTTGTTGTTCAGTCATTTAGTCGTGTCCAACTCTTCGTGACCCCATGGACCAGAGCACGCCAGGCACTCCTGTCTTCAATGCTTGTAATTATATCCAAATATCACTAGATGGCACTTTGTCCTTTATTATAGGGAAATACTTAAAAGAAAAATATAAAACCCCTGCAATTGTTTTCAGCCACACTCTGTCACTGTATCACTGTAATTCCATCCTTAATCTCTCACTCTACTTTCTCATGGTGTACTTTCCCTCTAAACTAATATTTTGATATTTGATTTCCTGTTTTCCCTCTTTCACTACAACTTATTTGCAAAGCTTCCCAGGATACAAAAGAAAAGAATAGAAAAGAAAAATAAAATAAGAAAGCCTTTAAACCCAACTTTGTCTCCTAATACAAACAGAGGTTTTACAAGTCTCCTTTCTTATTTGCAAAAACCATGTATCTCAGCAGAGTGATTCTTCCTTCTGGGGGTTTTAAAACCAAATCTCCCTGTACTTCATGGACAGAGAACTTCTCCCTTTCCTGTGAGGAACCTCTTTATTTGAAAAGGCAATCACACAGTAACACTGTTTTTTTACTAGTGCTTGCTAAATTTAAAGGGACATGGGTGGTGCTGTGGTCTAAACCACGGAGCCTCTTGGGCTTGCCGATCGGAAGGTTGGCGGTTCAAATCCCCACAACGGAGTGAGCTCCCGTTGCTATGTCCCAGCTCCTGCCAACCTAGCAGTTTGAAAGCACACCAGTGCAAGTAGATAAATAGGTATGTCCCATTGCACCAGAAGCGGTTTAGTCATTCTGGCCACATGACCTGGAAAGCTGTCTGCGGACAAACACCGGCTCCCGTGGCCTGAAAGCGAGATAATGACCGCAACCCCATAGTCACCTTTTACTGGACTTAACCATTCAGGGGTCCTTTACCTTTGCTAAATTTAAATGCATGAAATTCTGGAAGCAGAAGGAACAAAATCGCAGGCAACGTGAAATATACCGTATTTTTCGCTCTATAACACGCACCCGACCATAACACGCACATAGTTTTTAGAGGAGGAAAATCCGTAGGCATGCCACCCGTAGGCATTCCCTCCATAACACGCACAGACATTTCCCCTTACTTTTTAGGAGGAAAAAAGTGAGTGTTATGGTGCAAAAAATACGGTACTTGGAGACGAGTGTTGATTTCATGTTCTTTATTTCAACTCATGGCAAACAGGGAGTAAGTTTTCCCAAAAACCTCTGGCTATATATACA